ACGTGAAGTGCAATTCGCTGCTCGTCAGTTTACAGCTGATAGTTTATCGTTGCTGTCACACTCGGTGCGTTCCACGTTCAGTGAAAAATACTCGACGTCGAGAACACCACTGCTGAAAGCAATTTGAAGAATTTTCTCCGCCGAACGACTTCAACAACACCAGCAACGCGTCACTCACCACGTTTATCTGGGCATGCTCTGAAACCCGGCTAGAAGAGAATCGCTTGCAGTGTGCTGCCATCTGTCAACGAACTTAAAAATCAAGCGACGCAGTGTTGGCCAGGGTTTGGAAGAGCAAATCTCAAGCCTGGGCTGCTTTCCGCGTACAATAAATGTTATCCGATTCAAGCTGTACAAAAGCACTGATGAATGCTACACGCACGTAAAACAAGGTGAGTTTTAACTGCAAGGGTCAGACGATAACATTTAACTATACCTACGTGACTGCAGATAGCCTCGCAAAGCTGATATGTGTACTCTGCGGGCTATATTGGAACGCACATGTTGCCACGTATTTTCACGAAAAATTGGCGTCTCGCAAGAACGAATCACATTTATCGCGTCATGGACGGTACGGTAGATTTAATGATGCATGAAACATACAAAGTGGTCTGTGTTCTTTTCTTGGTTGATTGATTGATATGTGGGGTTCAACGTTCCGAAACCACCATATGATCGCCGTAGTGGAGGGCTCCGGAAATTTCGACCACCTGGGGTTCTTTGACGTGCACCCAAATCTGAGCACACGGGCGTACAACAATTCCACCTCCATGAGAAGTGCAGCCGCCGCAGCAGGGACTCGATCCCGCGACCTGCGGGTCAGCAGCCGAATACCTTAGCCACTAGACCACCGTGGCGGGGCATGTGTTCGTTTCTTGATAACGCGTTGGCACTGAGGCTAGCGCAGCCGTACAAGGAAGCGTCTGCCTACTGATCATCCTCGAGAGGACGCTCCTGAATTTGGCTAGGTGGCGCGACAGTCAATGGACATGCGAATATTGTGAGAGTTTTATGTGTTTCATGGCTGCACTTTATTAAATTTTGTAGAGTGGTCACGTCGGCGTGCAGCAGATGTTCAATGAGCTGTTTGCCTTTTGAGAAACTTGGTCATGTCCAAATTAGATGTTCTAAATAAGCTCAGAACAGTGTCTGAAGGTGTGTGAGCCATGTAGGAATATTGCCACCACAACGTCGGTTAGCTTACTGTCGTTTGTCTAGTATGAATAAAACATCTAAGCCACCTAGTGCACTGTTATTAGCTTATCGGCGCACGCACACGGGTGGAAGCAGAGATGCGTCATCAGTCATGTGGCCATGCCCTCTCATTGCTTTATATGCGTTGTTATTGCGGTCCAGATTTTTGATGGCAAAGACAAAGGAAGACCCGTGGTGTTTTGCCCAAAAGATGGTTGGCTTCCCCACTTTTACCACCTTAACCCTTTAACGACAGTTGACGTGTGTGGTTGCCATGAGATTTTCTACAGTAGGGCCAGCAATTACTGGTAGACACTCGTCATCCACAAAACTATATCGCACGTGGAACCCATGATGACAATACCCAATGTAGTTGTGTTTTTCGATGCCAGGTGGCTCCACTCGTCCGTGTTTTTTTTCAGTATTGTTGATTTTTTTTGTGTGTTTTGCTTTGCACTGTATTGACATCTCTGATACCGCATGCAGATGTCAATACAATGCAAAGCAATTCCATTCAATTAGAAACAATTCTTTCCACCCAATTAGAAAATAAATAATCACTACTTCAATTATATACTGACACAATGTATTTCATAAAAAGAATACCTACAAAGTGAGCGAAAAAAACATTTGTGCTCACTGGCAAATTTTTTTTTAATCTAGGAAACTGAGACTGACTGTCGCGAGCAGCCCGCCATTGATTCCTTCTTCCTATTTTCGTATTCCTGTTCATTGTCCCTTTTTTATTTATTGATTTCACGAAGTCTTCGCACCTGTCCGTCTATCATAATTGTTTAGCAATTCTGAGCATGCTGGGCATACGTTTCTCGTTACACATATTAAAAGAATGCGAGTTCTAAAATGACACTGCTTTGTTATTTCAAACATGTCGAGAGCTGGACGAGCTGACTCTGCTTGTTACATCGCGGTACAATTTCGTCGTAGAGTGGGGATAGTGCGGTGCCAAAACTTGTTCTTTGTTGTTCCTCATTGCATTGTCCACTGTGCTGTACAGTGTCATAGACAACGAGCAGTTAGCATTAAATACGTCCTGCTGAAGTAGGCACGTAATTTATGTAATGGAAAGGAGCAGTGGGAGAACAGTCTGAATCGCTGAACAGGCTGCCATGCTGGTGCAGTACACACGGCGGTGCTGGATCGGCGATCCGAAAATCGAAGGTTCAATCGTGGTCACGGCGTTCACACTTTATTCGATAGATACGACACGTTAAAAAAACACCAGATGATCTAAACTTCCGGAGTCCTCCGCTACGACCTGTCTCATAATCATACCTTGATATAGAGCTGCAATACCCAGTTATTATTATTAAATTAACTACGAAAAGTGCCAACTGCTTGTTGAAACACTATTAGGTTACTTTAACAGGGCACTTCAATTGTCGTCTCAATTCAGCAAACGTATTTCGTGCGTATTATGTATCCTCAATTCATTACACTTTTTTTTCGTATGTCACCCAATGAACACAATTTGTGAAAGCCTTGTGCAAGTCTATGGCAAAAAAACAGAGACAGTAGACGTGAATCGAGCGTATTACCGAAGTCCTTCAATACTTTTACTGGTCAGGAAGCTGCGCCACGACTCTATGGGAGAACTTTGTGCGCTGCAACCGGAGGTCGCGGGACGGCGCTGCGTCCTCCTCGGGGGCCTCGTGCAGACGGCGGCCGCGTACTGTGGCATTTCACCAGGCGTTTTTCATCATATGTCATAGTGTTGTGGGCCTTGTGTCAGAAGATCGAAAAGGATGCCGCATGCATCCGGTCTTCACATGAGTGTCTACCTGGTTATAAAGGAAACGATGAAAATCTGTCCATGTTCTGGCTGCCTATAGAGAGCAGACGGCGAGAAAAGTGGAAGCGAGCCATACCACGACGAGAAACTGGTAGTTTCACGTTTGATCCTACGCAAGTGCGTGTGTGCGAAAAGCAGTTCGGTGAGAGAGCGTAAGCCGGTGGCTCATTGGACGAGTTGTTGTGAAGACGCCGCACAATGTTCCGAAACGTCTTGCCGGACGTTGTGCAGGGTGTCTTCCGCGGCCTCTCGACGTATTTGTCGAGCGCAAAAAGATGCAGAGCTCGCCCGCCTGCCAAGCGTTGCCGGTAACTGGCAACCCCATTTGACATAACTGTCATGGATCATGACACCTGTTAAGGAAGGTTGCAATACTGGCAGCTTCTTTCTCGTTGCATGCCAGTAGTACAGAAGCTTGATTAGTAAAATGCTCGCCGTTTTCTTTAATACGGACACTAAGATGACGAAAAGTGGGGAGGTGACATGCCAAACAGAGGGAGCCACATTCATTTCCTCACAGCTCGAAAAACTTAAAGCACACATGCGTTGTAGTCAGCACTATTAGTTGAAGCTTGCTAGGGTGAGCGCGCACGAGGGGATGCAACAAAAAGCTGTATGAAACTTGCGCAAGCTGTAAAAGCGCGAAAGGTAATTTTCGATATCAGTGCCTCATGAGCACGAGAAGGCAACTTTTTGCATCACATGCTGAAGGCTCCGGCGTGGGGTGCAGTCGAGCAATGATCACGTTTAAGGAGACCTCTAAGGTCTTCGCCTAACAGTAAAAAAACAATAAATAATGACAGGGAAAACACAGCATGAGTAAGCTACACAGCAGAACAAAGGACTGGGAAACTACAGTGCATGGCCAACAAATCTTAGAACGCACTACGGCACCGTAGTGATAACACTGATAAGTTAACGCAAAAAAAAACACACGGAAAGCACGCAAAAGTCGTATGAAGTATTGTTTGATCATCATCACTTGCTAAACTCAAAGCACTGGTTCATTCAAACTGGCTGTTGGTTTGATAATTACGAAGGTATTTTGAGATGCATCTCTTCGTATAGAAACACCGGATGTATATATAGCCTTAAAGGTTGGGTATGCGTTGCGAAAAGTTGCAACCACTACACTTCCACGACGCGTTCAAAACCACCTTGCAGAGTCGTTGAAGAACTCTGGATTGTCCCCAAATTTTCACTAGGTGCTTCAAAAAGACAAGAAGCATGCTTATATGGTGGTAGCATAATGTAATCAGCATTCCGTCTAATTTCTGTGATCTTCGTTGAAGGTAACATCACTCCGAAGTCGTAATTAACCTTCACAGGTATGATTCTACACATTTCACACTTCCGGGATCGCCGTATTATTGCAGTGCCACAGCGCTGTGTGTGTACCCCTAGCGGTTGCTTCTGTCCCCATATCAAACTTTCGCCGAAGCTTCATGTCCAGGAAAAATATTGAAGGACTATGGTAATACTGCAGTGCACGGCCGCAGCATTCGTTTTGAGAATATTGCGTATTATAAATCATTGCACAGCACCTTTTGCAGCACTAAGCGTTCACCTGTTTTCTGCCATTTTACATTTTTCATGTAATCCGATATTCATAACGAAAGAGAGGTGCCTAGACTCCGCTGGTCGCATCATGCCCCGTTTTACGCATTTTTCCAACGCATGACCCCGGACCATTTTGTGTGCAGAAGATACTAGGACCTTGGGCGTCTGCCTCAGTTGCGCAGAAAGCAACTAAAGCACTGCTACTTTACCTTAAGTCAACAAACCTGAGCGACCGCCTGTAGACTGCGTGGGCTCCCCGAGTGTGCTCGTGATTGTGTGTACCTTCTCATCTTTCTGCAACCTCTTCTCTCCCCTTTATCCCTTCCCCAGTGCAGGGTAGCAAACCGGATGTGCGTCTGGTTAACCTTCCTGCCTTTCCTTGTATCTTTATCTCTCTCTCTCTCTCTAACGCATAACGTGATGTTGTCTTTTGCAGACGCGAGTTCCAGTTTACGCGGGCCGTTTTCTTCTTGGCACGACTGTTCAAAACTTCCTTCATTTCTACCAGGTACAAAGCGACTACTATAGCCAGTTGTTTTTCCTTCTTCCTCATGAAATGAAACCAGTAACAATGTACAAGGGCAAAGTTACAAGCACATAGTTGGCAAATTGGGTCTATATTTATGTAGCTTTTCATGCATCGACAAAATGTTCACGTCCTCATGTTCTGTCAGTGGAAATATTTACCCTCTACAGCCGTAACAGCGCTCGTCGATGCCCTCTTCATGCGCTTGCGACCACTCTATCCGCATGGTAAATCAGTCCTAGCTAATCTTCCTGCTTTCATCTTTTCACTCCTTCTTAGGGTTACCTTTTAATCTCCCTTCACTGCCTTTTCATCTCTGTGAATAACAGAGACAAGACTAACCGCATGCCTCAGAAAGGTTTAGTGCAACCTTCTTCAAGAGTGAACTTGTTGGCTATTTGGCGCGACATATCGGAGGCGAAACAGCGCCAAGGACCGGGACAGTAAACGAAAACATACAGCACGTACTTATACGAACAACCTCTACGATTTAGTGCACTGTTTCTGGTCGCTGAATTGTCTGGTGAAAATATTTCAGCTTCCTTTCGCGCTTGTTAAAACTCCGCCTTTTTTTCGAAAATTGTGCGAATGCGAGGGGAGCGGTTGTCACATGTGATTGCGGCTTTGTTTCAGATTTACAAAGCGAAGAACTTGGTCATGTATGACCATGGGAAAGATGAGAACCGTAGGAGATATGGCCAGGTAAATGATTGCTTTGCATTTTGCTTTTTAAATCACCAACTAATTCTGGCAGAGCCCGATGTTTTTCACGAATATAGGTTTAAAACCTTTACAATAAGCTCCTGTTTTCACCACTACTGCAAGAATTACGTGGACTCTTTTTTTTTTCCTCTGCTCAGGGCATGGAAGAAAAAAGGGCACTGAATTTTCTCGAAATGGATGGTATAATTGTATTCATTATACACATCCTTCTCTTGAAAAATTGCGAAAATTCAAAACAGAAATTGGAGCGGTGGTAGTATACGTAGCTGTGGGACGATGAAAGGCTTGTGAGATTGTCTAACGCAGATGCATGAGACTAGAAATGTCTTTGTGACATTATATAGGCATGACTATTGCTGACTTTCCAAGCAATCATACATTTTCGTGAATATAAGGTTATATCAATGGTTATTCCGTTTACTGTGAAACAATCACGTTAAACCTACTCGACTTTACATACGAAGCAAACCTTTGCATGTATTTTTGAAACAAAAATCATGAAGCCTAAGGCAGTCTGTCTTTTGAAATGAAAAAAATCACAGCAAAACAATTACGCAAGTCTAGTCACTTCATCTTCACAGCACAAAGAAAAACATAAACGCAAGGCAAAAGCTTACTTATTTGGCACCAAACATGTCATACAATGTCTTTCAGATTATTCCAGGGGCAGCAAAAACTGCTTCATGCATCAGTCGTCGGCGCCATGTTCATGCTGCACAGGTAGATGGAACGTACAATGAACGCGTCGTAAACTCTCACAGAACTTGTCACAATGTTCACATTTTCATTGGTGGTAGGTGAGATGCACCAAATCTAACTGCGAAAGGTTTACCGACACAACAAAAGTTTCATTCGAACAGCTCCCATCTACTCACTTATATGAAGTGAGTAGGTGTGACATCTGGGTACGCTCACATCGACTTTCAGAACAATAAATTCAGATAGCAGCGGCCGCTATTCAAGAATTATAAACTCTTTTTAATCACGCCTATAAGGTTCTATCAATACATTGTCGCAAGAATCACAGCTATTTGGTCTTACTGACTGTTAGGGTCCCAGTGAATTTGCTGAAGTAATCCTGTAATCGGACTTTTTTACATTGTTGATTTGCATTCTGATACGCAGGTGACACCACCACCTTATCCCATAGAACGCATAAAAGTACCGATAGCCATGTTCTCGTCTCAAGGTGACGTACTGGCCGACACTGCCGACGTGACCGACCTGGCTTACAGACTCGGTACTAGCCTCGTCTTCCACCGTGTCGTACCGCAGGCCAGCTTCACCCACCAGGATTTCGTCAGCGGAAACAGGGCCAACGACTTTCTGCACAACACTGCTATCGAGCTAGCTAAGAAATACTCTGCTCACAACCCATGACGTTTCTCACAGTTCACTGCGAGTATTTCATGCTTGTATGAACCGCTGATCGAAGCCCCTATTTACATTATTTGTGCAATTAACTGCCAATCTAAAGATATGTCCTTGAAAAAATGCCGTAGAGAAGTAATGTTTGAGCAGTATAAACAACAAAATAAACTATAAGTGTGAAAAATAAAGAATTGTAGATATCCTCAATACTATAGATGTGCTCCAACTCAGTCAGCATCGTGGATAGCTTAAAACAGCGTCAATATCCAAATTTCTGAGTAAAGGGACGTGTCCAGTTCATCTTTGATCGACGTGACGCCTCCTAGCGTCGACAAGAAAATACCGTAACAGAACAACCCGAACTTCTACTTATCCATTTTGTTTTGGCCTTCAAATTTACGAAAAACTCAGCGTAGCTAACTTCAGGCACATAAAAATCTTTGCTTCTGTGTATACTGTATACGACCACACCAGGTAGATCCAAGCATTCCGTTCAGCCACCATGTTTTCGAACAGCAAACTAGCCTGCACGGTATTTGACTTTATTACTGTCTTTGCGAAGCTGTACGTGACAATTGAGGGAGATTTAGCATGACCACTTTCCACCAAACGGTCTATTTTGACGTCTACAGATAGTATTAGAACCGAGCCTACATTGGTACGCCGTCGACGCAATGCTGCTGTTTTTATCTGGAATCGCTAGCGTAAGCGATAGTTGGCACAGAGTAGCATACTTGTGCCAACACCAACCAGTATTAGCCGTCACTTAGCCACTATCTAGGCACTATCGACTTACATAAGCAAGTGGAGGTTAATACCAGCGAATTTTCATTATAAGGAGGAACCTTATTACAAGTCTCCTTGCTCATTTATTTCAGGTGCTAGCTAAAATATTGCGCGAGCCAAAGAAATAACCTGAGTGCAAAACTATTTCTTATCTGAGCAAAACATTTATTCATAGCACCTGAATATTTTACTCAAATCAGTGCAAATAAATCATGTTTCATGCAATCACTAGCTACTTTAATGCAAGCTCTATTCTGCTTAATCCATAAACACAAACTCAAGGGTTGCCAGCTGGATAGTCTGAATGCCGGGACAAGGTAAACACGAGACGACTGGAAGTATTTTTTTCGCCACTGCATGCTCGCCCTTGTTAATAAGGTACTGAAGTATTTTTTCGGAATGGTTCAATGTCATCATACCTTATAAATTAAAGAAAAAACAGTGGGTTTTATTTACATTATTGGACAATAAATGCACACGCCCATAAAGCAGGTGATTGAAACTTGAGCGACGAGTCATTGTATGTTTCGTCACCAATACAGAGCTTTGTGTCATCATGTGAATCGTTGACCAGGTGTGGCAGAGCTGCACGTCTTCTGCGAGCAGGTGGCACCACGCCCAATTTTTACGTGTAGGACGCGTAAAAGTCGGGGTTGGACGCACAGTCTCTGTTAAAACTTCAAAGTCACCACATCAGAAAATACACCAGGGAAGGTTCTTCGCAGCGTGTCACTACGCAGCCAATGCGATTATACCTCGTAGAGCAGCGTTGTCTGGAAAATAAAAGTAATCAAGCGACGCGATCCTGAAATTTTCGTTCCTTGTGAGGGCGTTGTCTTCCCGGGCGAAATGTTTTTGCATAAAGCATACCTCCAGTTCGACCGCACTATAGTCGGTCACAACTTAAGAGTAAATGTAAGTTGCGCCCCAGGCCGTCGCCATCCGTCTGCTGAGAAAATTGAGAGCAAAAAGAATAAAACTTCAGCCTCAAGAAAAGCGGTAGAAAAGAGGCGATTCTGCAGAATGTTGGGTGGGGCGTTACATCCAGTGCCCCAAAAGAATCCACCAATCACCTAAAGTGATCTAGAAGCGCTAATTACACTTATGGACTCAGCTCGCGAGTGTTGCCTCCCACTGCCCTCAACTGCTAGAAAAATTCTTGCTCAAAAATATTTTTAAACTATTGTAAATTTTATGTCTTCAACACACTCACTGTTCAAAGTTTACAGTCATGTCATTTAAAAATAGACAAGTTAAATGTCTCCATCGCGTGCCCTTTCACTCTGCCAATAAAGTTATATACATCACAGCAACGCCGCATGCAAAATAAATTTCTTCAGGTGTCATCATTACAAAACTCACACTTCCATTAGCCTTCCGGAAAAAGTATATAGTATAAAGTTGGCGAACCTCTGCACCACGGGTCAGCATCGAGGTAAAACGTAGAATATGCTGTATGTAGCCACCATAAACTTCAAAAGGCTCTTGTCTGTACCTTCCAGAGGTTCGTAGTTTATTTCCCCTCAAGAAATTTATGGAAGACGCTATATTTTTGTCGTGCGCCCCACTGGTGATTGAGACTGTGTTTTCGGGGTCATTAAGTGGCGCACAACTTTGGAAGGCTGCCGCTTCACTTGATTTGCCAGAGCTCGAGCTAAAGCATCCACTCTCTCAATCACTTCCAGGCCGCTGTCTGCGTGGAGCCAGATTAGTCGGCGACCCCTATTGGTTCAGTTCTGTCCCACCTGTTTATTATTGACTTTCAGAGGCAAGCGTCTATTCATATAAAGCCGGAGACTTCCTGAACGTTTCAATAGAAGAGCAAGAAGCCACTGAGACAAAATCGCGTTTACGAGCCATTAAGCACATTTTACGAATAGGCGGATAGCAAAAGGACAAGTCTTCTGCTACAGTATACTTCTGATTCAAGGCCACGCCCTTCGCTGCTTCAAGATGTGTGCCGTTAGATGTAATCAGGGAGGAAACGCCTACCTTCTGCGTAGTGGTTCTTACCTGTTGTGCAGTGATTTTGTTCTTGCTTTCGCTTTCGAACCAATCTAAAATATTTCGCATGTCAGTTAACGAAGCAGGGAGTAGAAATGGACAGGCGTTGTGAATAAAACACAGGGCGTTGTGAGGCGGCTGGGGGCCGAGCGCAGCAACCAGCATACCTAGAGTCATGCTTTGAAACAGAGTAATATTCAACCAAATAAGCTTGCTAATATATTTTCGAGCACAACCGATGGCCGGCTTGGAAGCACACATATAGACCCATTCCATGTTTGTAAACAAAGGCAGGCCGATGTCGACATTATGGGTGAAATTATGGCGACGTCCGCACTAACTTCCGTCATAAGCGCTGAAGGCTGCAATGTGTGCCAACAAAACGATGTTGTGAGACGCCATAAGCATTGTGAAAGCCATAAGCGCTGAGGGCTGCGATGTGCGTCATCAAACAAATCTAAGTAGTGAGACGCGACTCATATCCAACCGCGACGCAGTTCGTCGGCATAATGCTTTTTAGGGGCGAAACTTCTTATATCGGCACCCGTTTGTCCCTCGTAGCCGTTGTAGTAGTGTGTAACGAGTATAACATTTTGACCTCCAAGGTGGTGCCGGTGAGAGATTTCCTCTGTGCGTTGTTGAACAATGAAAGATAGTGCTCAATGTACATGCCAATGGCTACTAAGGGGGAATGAGAGACCGGAGAATTCGGCTTTTAGTTAACGCGCACGCTGCGAATTTTTATTGTTCAACAACGCACAGAAGACAAGAAAGGGTTGCTACGTTATACTCGCTGGGCGTAACCTCCTACGTTTTAGAAACGTAGTGCCATGAATACAGTGAACTAGTATATATCATGAACTCGAGGTGGTTAAAGGTGGGAAGTAGACACGAAGCGCAAGCCGTAAGAAAGCGTGCGTGTGCCACCTCTCGTTCAGTCCTTGGAATGTCCGCTGGAAGGCGGTGCTTCTATATAAGGAATATATGATGAAAAGATGCGAGATGGTGGTACTTGGAGTGTTGAATAGGTGGACGAACAGACACACGGACAGATGCATGGATGGACGCACGGATGGCTGCACGGACGGATGGACGCATGGACGGACGCCGGAGCGGATGCATGGACGAAAGCAGGGACTGACACACAGATGAATGTGCGGACGCACGAATAGACGTACGCACGGACGGGCGGATGGACGCACGGGTGGCCACACAGACGCACGCATGGATGGACGGAAGCAAGAACGAATAAACGGACGGATGCTTCGCCCCACAATCCATCATTCACTCCATGGATATGCTGCCATTTTTTTTCTCGTTGCTTGACTGAGAACACTACACGCACCATTAAAAACCCAGCAGAAACTGTGGTAGGCAGAGCGTCTTTTGCCTATCAAGACAGCGCCACCGCATTTTCGTGACGTAAGTCTGGTTGAATTTGTCTATACGTCCCATCGTAGTTCTAAATGTAAACCTGCGTTTTCAAACCACTTGAGCTGTCAAGGACATATCCAGGCATTCAACCATCAAGTGTACCAGTAAGTATAGTTATGTTAAATGTAGTGCATTGCCATTGCCTACATCATGTAAAATGCATTGAAACTGATGAGCGTGAAAAAATCCGGCTGCTGGAGCAAAGTGGATGCGGAGATATTTGTTTCGGCTAGCGCGTAAAACAAAATCAACATTGCTTTTGAAACAACAGATGGCTTAATATGGCGTCTTTGGTATTTCAGACTTGCAAACGGGATGTGCTGATACCTTAGACTTGAACACGAAAGAAAACTTTACGCGGAATACACAGAAATTTTCATGCCTTCCAGGACAAAGCTCATGGACGCGAGAGAAGGACCTCTCAGGTAAAGAAAAATTAAGAGTCGTATTGTATATATCAGAAAACATCAATATTCAGTCAATTTCAGAGTTAACAGTATTATACGATCTCCACTAACCGTGTCTAACACAACATGATATTTTTTCGCTCGAAATAAAGTACATAATGAGCTCAAACGGTTTGAAGGGTCAGAAAAGTAGTTCGAGTTTTACATGGGACGAATATTTCGTCACACCAGGAAGTGCCGCGAGCGTTCATATAGCCCGAAACATGAACAAAAACAATCTCCACTGCCGACCAACGTGCATCCTGAAAGCTCCGTGCACTGTAATGAAAGGATGGTCATTGCTACGTTTTATAAATGTACATGAATGGTTGACGTTTCCATTCAATTAAGCTGCGTAGCTTTGGAGAACGTTATGCAGTAATTTAAAAAAATATCGCCGCTGCTACTAGGTGGAACATGAAGAAAGAGAGGACTCACATCCACACATGATAATAAGATGAGTTTTTCAGACGTCGTGTGATGGCACTCGAAGCTGGGGCCAGTGAAAATGGAGACTAGCCTTAAAGACACGGCAGAAGGGAGGCATCAGCCATTACGAGCAGATGCTTGCCACTACACTGGACACCCACCATAAGAAATCGCAAATTGTGCCCTATGCACAAAATTTATGCCGTTCTTACCGTAGTAACACTTACTCAGTTGGCAAACATAAAGGGGCTTGAAACAATTTTTGCAGGTAGTCACGCAATTGATTCACCTAAATGAGCTTAATGCCTCAAAATTTTAATGCCGCAAACATTTGAAGAACACGTCCAGAGTTACACAAATTTGTAACATGCTGCAGTCACATTCTCTCTTCTTCCCGACAAAAGCGCTGGAAGCTAGGCAGGGGGCGGGGGGAGGTGCGAGAATGACATGGTCAAAGAAAATACGTCACGCACTCCTCGTGACCTTGAGCACTTTTTTTTCTTCCGATTACGCTTGGACAAGACGTAACCTCCCATGGTGATCTTTGTAACGACCAAACGCGCTAAGTTCCAATCAGCAAACTGGTCGATATAAGGCTTTTTATAAGTGATTCTTGAGCTTCATCTATCATTTGTCGAGAGAAGAGAAAGCAACTTTAGCTGAATTAGATATTTGATTGTAATAGATAGTTTATTGTGAGTAGCAGGCAGCATGCTGCGCTAAATATTTAACTCGCGTGTTCTTAGGAGCCTCTACTACCGATAGGCAGCGTTTTCTGATCATGCTGGAAAAGTGTTGCAAGGTCCTTCTAATGACAAACTCTGACTCACCTTAGTATTCTTCTCAGATGATGAAGTGACCCTTGCGCCTTATCCTCCTTAGAGTTTCTGTACCTAACGTGTTTAAGTCTCCAAGATTGGAAGCAGTGCCGTCTTTTTCTGCACTTTGCAGCTTCTGCATTGCTTCTGAAATCAGCTCTACTTTGGTGGTTCCAATTGTTGTACGTGATAGCGCAATGACGTGACTTTGATAGAAAACGCTATAGTGCCCGTACAGCGGTGGAACTCTAGACTCGGAATTCAGCGCTGACTGGCACCGTGTGTTAGAAAAAGTTATTTACGATTGAGGGTACTTGGTACTATACGCCGTTCCTTGGGCCTGTCTATTTAGAAAGAGTGGGTAGGGATTTAGTGTACTAGGTACTCTACTATGGGAGAGCATAAAGCCGTCCCGCGGGCCTCACACTTGGTAAGGCACCGTTCATATGTGTGTTTAGAAAACGTGGTTTACGAATTAGGGTAATTGGTACTCTACTACGGGAGAGCCTTGAAGGCGTCACTGGGGAAACATTTTGTGAAGGTCAGATGTTCGCGTTCTACATATTTCAGGTAGGCTACTTACCCATACAGATACATGTATGTGTTACTGGTTTTTTCGCTAGGAACACGTGAAACTCCTGATGTATTTCACTAAGATAATGACGTCACTGTAAGAAAAAAGGTAACATTCTGAAATTACGCAACGATCTTTTAATTCATGATACGCGTCTTTCTTCTAGAAACAGCAAACGGAGTATTCATGGTAGGGACGGGAAACACTCAGCGTGGCTTTCTTGTCCATGTGACTCGCTTGGGTACCACCAACATGGAGGTGCAGCTCGTATCCAAGCTAGCACCAACTATGGATTTTAAAGTTGCGTGAAGTATCACAATTAACTGAATCCAACCAAGGTTGCTTACGCTTATGGGTGCCGTCAGTTATCCAGCGTACGGTGTCCCGGTCTTCATTGCGGGGAGTGCAAGGTAAATTGCCGCAAGATGACGCCGGGTTGCCGTTATTTTTCGGCCTTGCACTCAATGTATACGCCCAGATCGGTGCAGTCGAAACGTGTGCCTCAGAAACTTGCATTTATAGGAGCTCAGACAGTTTTCGAACCCACCAACCAGACTTCCGTTAAGTGATTTTTAGAGCGAAGTCATTTTTACCCCGCTTATCCATATTTCTGAGACATCAACAAAAACGACGAGGCTTCAGTAGGACATGGCAGGAGAATTAATCGAAACGCGAAGTCACCAAACAGCGCACAGTTTGCCGATGCCTACCACATCAGAATGACAACAGGTGGTATCAGAATGCCAACAGATGGTATGGTACATTAGGCATGTCTTGTACATGCCATAGCCTTCCTGAAATACCAACTTGAAATGTAACCATGGCCGCATTTGACCGCTGGGGTTTAACTTCAGTTGCGCCATTCGAAACAGCCAAGTGAAAAGTAACAACGAAACAAGAAGCTTACCATCGCCCAACTCGTCTCCCAAGTGTTCCTTCACACCTCCTTACTCTGCTTAGCGGGCCTAATCTACCTCTCAATTGTATTTCCATAAACTAGGATATTAAGACGAGAGCCCATATAGGGTGCCATGTAAGACGCCAAATGTGGCCATCAGTTTAACACGAATGATGCATAACAATCGAGACATTATGATGCTACACAACGGGACGTCACATGATGACGTGATCATATGCCGTCATCGCTTGGTCAGAGGTGGTCCGGTACCGAAGATACTGCCATACCCAGGTATACGCGTGGAAAGCTTCCCATGCCTGCAATGCCTCAGACAGTGTGCAAACATGTTGGGTGCAGAATTTTTTCGGTGGAGGAAATTGTATAGATTGATTAATTGACCGAGAATGAAAGGAAGGTGGCTCTTGGTCCGAGTTACCGGAAGTCCACGCGTAATAGACTTCGTGAATTTTTCAATAAGTTGTACTAGGTCCATAGGCGGGACAACCTCCAAGTTCCATCTATCAAACCGGCTCTGTTAACCCGGCGGAACACCACAAGTAGGAAGTCGATGAGCTCAGCCGGTGCCTCCCGGCAGACTAAGTAGAAGACGGGTTCCCAGATGCCCCATGCTGCGTAGTTAGGCTTCGGTTGGGCCTCCCGGACGGCGAGTACCATCTGGTCGACCACCTCGTTGATGTCGTCGCGCCTTGTGAGATCGGCGATCGCCGACGCAGCTTTCATCCAATCGGCGATTTCCTCCTCGCTGAAATCGTCAAGAGTCTCGCGGGGCAAGATGCTCAGTTGCTTGCGGGTATTTTCCATGGAACCGACGTCAGAGAGGATCCGCGTCCTAATGGGAGCGTTGAGAAATGAGACAATCCGTGGGACAGCACGTCAACGCACCTTATCACATGCGAACACACAGATAGTATATGTTTAGTACTATGCTTTAACAATTGGTCAGCCGGCTTCACCGAAAGTGAAGCTGCGTCATGTTATTGGATACCTGTTAAGAGTACCAGCTAGATACAGCTCCAAACGTTGCCACAAAAATGACTTACATCATTTGTAACTTATTGTTCCCGCCATTAGACAATTGAGACAAACCATCGACCAATGATGAAGCCTACAACACTGCAATGACTGCTATCACCTCTTTGTTATCAAGCACTCACGATCATGTTTACAAATAGCGTATATCATGGGATATTTCATTCTTTCAAGTAGTAGTCCGTTGATACATCAGCGAGCAAACGATTCGGTCTAGCTCGATGGCTAGAGACTTGAGCCCTACGTGTGTTTTTCATGGTACTGTCCTTTTCAGTTACAGCGTTAAATACCCATCTAACTATCTCAAGTTAGCTCAGAGCACTACAACACCTCAGACCCCACAAAAATATCAAGACGAAGGATAAAGGATAAGCGAAACTCCTCCAGTGCTATTCACAAAACATCTAGTTTAGCCAGCACGAGACGAAAAGCGTCGTATATGAATTATTTTACGGGTGAATTTGGGTGTAGCCACGTGGGGTCTCGTCACTTTGAATATTTAAACTATACGAACAACACTATGTTAATGTACACGCGTGAATATGGTTGTCCTCGCGCATTGAGCGTTTCATGACGTTGATGTATATTGAAGAGAATTCTTGACGTTTAACGTACCAAAACCACCATATTATTATGAGAGGCGCCGTAGTGTAGGAAACTGGAAGTTTCAACCACCTGGGTTTTTCAACGTGCGCATAAATTTATGCACACAGACCTCAAACATTTGCGCCTCCTTCATAAAGTGTGGTCAGCCACGGCCGGGATTCGAAACATCGACCTGCTTGCGCTTAAGTACGTTATCGATTCGAGTCGCGATATACGAAAATGAGAAAACGAGTGAATTAAAGCCCCCATGACGGTGTCTATATGTCTTGCGAAAACTATTCTATAAAGTTGAAATAACGATGGAGCATGCGCGCTGTTACCGCTACACCCGTCACAATGTCAAAAATCGTCGCTTTTTTTCAAGCGTATGCTTGTGCTAACGAGCGAGTCAGTAGAGCGCACAGGAAATTCAACTCGTTTAAAAATGCGGAAAATCTGGTATCACCTGTACGCTGTTGGCTCAACAGTGGCGACGTACACACCCTTGTCACAACATTCTCTGCGTAGTCCGTCTGCTAGCGATATAACGGCGTGCTTGCTCATACAATAGACGACGCCAGTTGGAACAGTGCTTCGACCTGTAATCATTAGTGTGAAGTCAGTGAGTAGGTAAGTCACTCGCCAATTCGCGCAGTCAATCAATCAATCAATCAATCAATCATTGAATCAATCAACTCGATATCTACTTACCGAGAACACTTCCCATAATTACAAGACGGCCCTTTGATTTCCTCAGAAGAGGCAGGAACTTCTTCGAAACACTGACTACACCGAACACGTTGACGTCAAAGATTTTCTTGATGTACGGCATGCTCGCCCACTCCAGAAGGCCGTGGCTCGCTACACCAGCGTTCGCCACCACGGCCCAGAGCTCTGCGTCGGAGGAAAAGAAAATACTTTGATTGAAAGCCGCTGTGCCAGCATTATTCATTATTCAAGCGAAAGTTATGGTATACAGTTGGCATCAAAGCCAAATACTTGCACCATCGCCAAAATGCGAGCGCTTCAACATGCATGATAATATCGTGACATATCAACTGCAGTTGTTTTCAAATATCATGCTACAGTCCTGTAGCAGTAATACTTCGACAAAAATTCATTTGCGTATTACAGGTGAAAAATGAAAGTTCAACCTGACAGTCAAATTACCTACTTCTTGGGCTATGGCATGACTGGCTTGATTCACTACATGAAAAAAGCATACAGCAACTGTTACTGCGCATCTATGTTACGCTTAACATATTTGTACGTAACGTCGTGGTTGTCTTGCATTTTATGGTAACCCTACGAGGCCCGAAACTAGAAAATGTATTTGAAATATCTAACAGCAAGTGGCCAGTTTCGTTCTAAAGCTTATGTGGCACTAATTCTCATAACTAGGTTTTTTTTTTTTCCATGCAGTCAAACCTGCTCAATTCTAGGCGTAAAAAAAAGCGTTGCTGTCTGAAGGGGAACAAAAGAGAAGAAAAAAATATTTTTATGTAACAGTCCTGAAAACACCGCTATTATTACGACGCGCCGCTTGAGAACGTGAAAAAACGCGAAAATTCTGGTGGAGACGCCACCTCTGGATTCCCGCGCCAAACACCTTGACCTGCCAGATTTTGGCGGCATCTACTGGGTCCTACGTGCGTAATAATCAGTAAAAAATGAAGTGTATTGTCATCTGCGGGTACCGTACACCTAACGTATACCAAATTTCAGAAAATTTGATCCAGCCCATGTCGCCAAATACGAAAAATTGATTTCGAAATTCATCACATCACGCACGGAGATGTCGGCTCGATATTAAAAAAAAGAAATTCAACATTGATTTTCTCCGCTAACGTAGAACTTGTCATAGTCAAACATAGTCAAACAAAGTTCTCAGAGTAATGTTTATCAAGGGATTGTCGCACTTTGGTATTCACTTAAGGTTTTCGAAATTAATACCAACGACTGGTACGGTCTCTCTTCGCCCACTTCAGCTTTCACTTCGCTCCAAGGACACGCGCGCCCATTTGTTCAAAGTGGAGTAGAAAACTATTATGGGCAAGTCAGCAACTAAAAACAAAGAGCCATCATGTAACAAGCATGTCGTGGGGTCGAATCCTGGCTGCAGCGGCTGCGTTTTTGATGAAGGCGAAAATGCTGTAGGCCCGTGTGTTCAGGTTTGGGTGCACGTTAAAGAACGCCAGGTGGGCAAAATTTCAGGAACCCTCCACTACGGCGTCTCTCACAATCACATGTAAGTTTTGGGACGTGAAACCCCACATATCAATCAATCAATCATGTAACAAGTATTCACGGGATGAAAATTGCGTAACATCAAATAACTAGTCGCGTGACCAAGAATCACGTGACACCACGTAATGTCTAGTGATGTCACTGATATGACGGACTTGGAGTAAAGTGACTAAAGTTATTACGCAACGCGTAGCAGCTGGAAACCTTCCTAAAAAACGCGTAAAACTCAAATGATCATAATAAGTATGTTCACCTAATTAGTTACCTGGCTAGGATTATGAAACATCACGAACACATTCTCGTGATTAAAACCACACAACATCTAGACACGCAACTAAGTCTCAAACTACTAAAGTCAGGCATACGTAGTGAAAAAAAAGACACTGCGCAAACGACAAAGAGGAATCAGAAAATACAGGATAAAGCGCTGACTAAACCAGCAGCTGCGTTTATTCTTGCGGTTCAGATATAAACGCCACGGAAAATTGTAAAACAACGACAGGAAAAGGGAGGACTTGCATGGCACACTAAAATTGGACAATGCCGCGCAATAGCTATAGTCATTTGACACATTTCAGTCATAAACTATCTAACAGCCAGTTACGTGGCTAAAATCACACCATCACGGAACATGTGATGTGAAACGTCTGGCCAAGTCTCGCCAAGTCTCGTCAAACTTAGTATTCGTAGCGAGAACTTAGCACCTCTAACAAGAGCTTGAAATTGCCAGCTAAAATCAGCTAGGCCAGAGACTAGCTCTGCTGATGGTTAAAGCCCGGCGCCACTAGTCCATCCTGTGCACTTTTTTCCGCACTTTTAAGAGCTTAATTCGTTTCAGCACCGTAAGTTTTCTGCGCGTTCTTTATGAGTCGAATTTCAAAAAGCATATATAGAGCTGATGAGTGCTTTTCTTTTGCTTAGGCTTAACACAAAGGCACACAAAACTGTGTTTTTACAGATTCAACAAAATATTCTAGTTGTGAAGTGAACGAAAAACTAAGAGAGATGTAGCCGCAATGTCTTGACAACAACGCTACCTAAGAGCATCGTGACCTCATGTAAACAGCTAGTTCACTCAGTCGTTACAGTTTGGCTTAACAACCTCATTAGAATAACATTAAGCAGAACAAGACGATGTCGCTCTGCGCACTGAAACATCTCCAGCTTTGGGTCTCCCTTTCGGCTTTGAAATGGCTACTAGCATTTCGTAGTAGCTATACGACTGCGTTGGCGTCGTTTGACATTGGAAATCTTCGAAAATAGCAGCGGTCCTCTCGCCTTGATTCTGAGACGTCTTGAAGGTCAGTGGCGAGAATAAACCGACCGCAATAAACTGGCGCAACCTCGGCGCGAGGTCACGTCCTTGCAGACGGCAAGAGGCACTACAGCTGGGATCACATAAGCATCGTGATCAAGTCGACGATTGCCTATTCATAACAACTTACGCCCAGTTATTGCCACTTGCATTAGAAAGCGACGATACATGTCTACTTAGTCAAAATATGTCGATGCATCTTTAGCGCGTTACATAATAAATTATATATACACAATTATTTCACAAATTAATTAAACACATAATGTCCGCCTTGGTGGTACAGTGGTTACGATGCTCCACTGATGACGCAAAGGTCGCGGGTTCGATTCTTGCCGCCGCGCTCGGATTTCACTGGAACTGAAATGCGAGTGGTCTGTGAGCGGTGAGATGTCAATGCATGTCAAAGAACACCAGATGGACGCAATATCTAACGTTCTTCTTTACAGCGTGCTTCAGAATCACGTCATGATTATTACGCGTGATACCCAAATCAATGTAAGTTATATTTACGTCACGTTTACTATTCAAAAGCAGTTTGCTGCAGCAAAAATGCTAAGCACTTGTAATTTTAACCCCACTGCTTAGAGAAGTTGTTACAATACGCCCAAGGTTCTTCCCGGACTGAAGCTTTCAGTGAAAACTAAGCGTAGGCCTGGTCGAGCTCGTGCAGTGCTATTACCAATTGATTGTACGTCCACCTAGGAGATTTTTTTTTCCCGTGACGGGTAAAGCTTGGAGTAGTTGCTGCCGTCTGCTGAATTCGCATTTTTGTTTTCAGCACAACCAATTTTCACTCTTGCAACAGCGATTTCCAACAAGTACAACAGTCAAATAAGAAGTTGTACGAGTTGGTGTTGATTCATAATACGTTGTGGTCGCGCGAAAAATACAACACACGAGAAAACTTTTCTCGCGCGCTGTACTCTTTCCACGCGAGCCTAAGTTATCACAGAGGCAGCTGAACATGCCTTCCAAAGCAAGGTGTTCAGCTTAGCCTCCTGTTCTATTGATTGGTGCAGCGTGAGAACGAACATTCACTTGCTTTTCTCTCCTAAAGAGCTCTTCACAGCATCAAGGGCGCTGTCGATCTCCTCTTCCTTGGTGACGTCCATTTGGAGAACGCGTACGTTAGGCTCCTTAGCCAGTTCGCAGGCGTCTTCGCTCGACGATTGCAGGCAACCGGCGAACACGAGGAAACCATCGCGGGATAGCCGCCTAGCGAGCAGGTTTCCGAAACCCGTGTCGCAGCCTGTCATAGAGAAATAAGAAAGTAAATGTACAATGAGTTTGTCAAGTGCATATGTTATCGCAAACAGCCACCTACATATCTACATTGACCATGACATACATAATTAATTTTTATAGAATTAACGTGGATAATGACGGAGGGATCTCCCTGTAATCCGGGGTGGTGCCATCAAGGAGCATGGGGAAGCGACAGTCTCAATTTTCACCATGACCCCACTTTGCCCTACCCCTGAAAGTAAACGTACTGAAAAGGCAGCATTAGGGTGTCTTGTCGGGAAAGTTGTTGCATAGTCTTGATGGAGACTTCACCAGCAGCAAAAAAAAAAGCAGAAACAACCCAAACATGGAAAAAAGACAAGGACAGAAAGAATGTTGGTACAGTACTCTCCCTGTTGCTGTCTTTTTTAACGCGATAGCGTTCAAAAGCTCGCTTCGCAGAAATATTGAAGACGGTGTTGGCGTCGTTGGTTGCGAGGGAAAAATCATCTTTGCCTGACCGAAAAATCGAGCAAAAGAAACACTGGCTTCTGCACCCTTAACGTAACATAGTGGGTGCATAGCAAGTATGAAAATATTTCATTCACTGTTTGAAGTACGCACTAGGAACAGAATATCGCTAACGCGTTCAACTCTTAAAAGCGACGCTTAAGAGTTGTCCAATCGTTTTTATTGCCAAGGCTGCTTATGCTGTCTTTTGGTGCTGCTGGTATATTGCCAAAAAGAGGCAGCCCTGAAGTTCCGCTGCTTCCTCTCTTTCCTGAGCACCGAAGAAACTCAATCGATGTGGGTGCCCTTCCCCAGCAAAAGAAACTCGTGCACTTCCTAAGCCTGCAATGCCTCCTTTCACGATTTTGTTAACACCCCTTTCCCAATACGTAAAGTTACTGTGGCAATTTAAATATACGAGTGCTACTCAAGTCGCAGAAATTGTGATCGATTCAATCACTACATCTATAGGCCGTTTCATTGGGGCCAAAAGTTCAGGGCACGTACCATACGCTTGTCCATAACTTTGAGGTAACTTCAATAAACATTCCAACTACAAAAAACAACTGCCGAACAACATACCAATTACACAAACAACTGCAGCACAATCACAACAAAAGTTGAAAAGTGGCCTTTCAAAGCCTTCTTAACTACTCTTTGGGTAACTGCTACAACTAAACTTGCAGGGTTATCCACTACGGCATGAATCATAATATTTTTTGTGTGGTAGGCAGGCATTCACTGTGTCATCATTCCTCATTATTCGAACAATCGTAGTACTCGCTACGCCCTTGTAAAGAATATTGTGAAATTTTTCGATGCTGTGGCTGACGACAACGAAGAACTATGCCAATGAAGTATTGCTTTGGAACATTTGATGACAAAATCGTTACTAAATGTGCATTGTGTGACGCCTGCTTGTTCCCTGGTTGTTCTATAGCGCTTTATTACTTAAATTATCGCGATTCATTCACGGACGTCAAGCCGGCGTAGGGCCAGTTTAGAACGAAGTTTCAGGCAAATACTCAGCTCAGAGGTGTGACACTGCGCTGCCACGCGGAAGACCCAGGTTCGAATCCCATCGTGTTCTTGGTGTCTTAATATAGCAAGTTCTTTTTCTGATTTCGCGCTACAGTGGTTACGGACACCGAGGGCGGCGGATAACTACGGCGCACGCACCCCTTTTCTGATCTCATGACAGCTCTCCCTGTAAAAGGGACTTTAGGTCGTCATAAAATACTCCACACCAACCAACGTAACTTTAGAAAAGAATAAAACTCAGCCCCAACACCGTCGAAACCGCTACCCTGAAGCCACCGATTTTTATTTTTGATAACGCAAGTTTCCACTAGAGCATCGATATATATTACACAAAATTGTGTAGCAGCGTTTCCTTCATGAAGTAGCCAGCATGTTCTTCCAAATAATAAATAATTGAGTTCCATATTTCCTGGTAAGTACTAAACTTTTCATAAGTCCTGACAACACGATACATACATCATAAGGCCCATGCTATTGCCTTACATTGCCTTTCATACATGGGGAGGCTACTTCGCTACTTGGCCGAATAATGATGAAAGATGACGTACCGAACAGCCCCAGCTTTCGAGGAGTCTTACGCAAATGCATAATGATCTATTGTAGTTACTTCAAACAGCTCGCATCGACGTGGAATAACATTAAAAGTTAAACGAACGTTAACTCACCCGTTATTAGGACAGCCTTGCCGTCTCCATCGACCAGACTCCTGAAAAGTTTCGCCGACAGGTATCGCGCCGTACCGAAGCTAATCATTACCACTAGGAACCCGGAGCCGAAGTAGGTTCCCAGCTCCAGCAGTAACGGCAGCCGGTTCCAAAACTGCCAGACGGGATAGATGAGTGCAAAGAACAGCATCCATCTCGTCTTCATGCTGTGCCCTGCGTGCACAGTGAGCGCATTCTTGTAAGTCCTGCGCTTGATGTCCTGATTGTAATAAGTGTTCAAAATATTTAAAAAGCAGCAAGTCAATTGAGGCTCGTCAACAGGCTATCAAGTCAGAAACTGTGCAGGCCATCCCCCAAAGTCATTACGTCAATCAATCAATCAATCAACCAATCAATCAATCAACCAATCGATCGATCTATCTATCAATCAATAGAACAATCAAACGATTGATCGATCAATCATTCAATCAACCAATATACCAGTCATTCACCCAGCTGATGGATCTTTGTTGGCAAGGTAATTCCCGAGTGGGCAACACTTGTCAGAATTAAGTTAAGCAGACAATACATACCGCAGCGCAGGGGCTATGGCAATACGATCCAAGTCGCAGTGATCCCACTTTAGTAAAGTTGAAAGAATAAAAAAAGGCCTATGGACCCTGATTTGGGTCCACCTTAGGAAACCTGAACTGTTAAAAACTATTTGTTCTTCAGTCAATGTGCATTTCTTATAGCCAGTTCGTAGTTTAGCGCTACACCAATTTTTTTTTTCAAAGTGAATGCGCAATTGCAAAAGTTGTTCGTAATTCGCTTCGCTGTCTTAATAGACAGTACAGTACTGCGAATGGCGCTAAATTAAGTGACATTGGTATGACGTACCTGCTAATGATTATAATACACCTTTCTTCCCTTCATATTTGCTTCCAAAAGCTGCTACTCGAAGAAAATTCGAGGCAAGCTGTTTGCTCTAAACAACAGTAGGCGTAACGAAACGTTTAATGAGTATTTAAGTATGGTTATCGCAATTAAAAGGAGTTCTTATTAACAATATCAGTGTCCACAGCTCACCTTCAGTTACACCGAGTACACGTAGTGCCGCCGACCGCCACTAACTCTCCTTGCGCTTTGCATGCCGCACCGGGAAAGGATAATGAACGACCGGTCATATTACGTAAACGATATTTTCCTGCTCGAACAGCGCCCGACTACTGGCGCGCCGTTGACGGAGGAGCTACTTCGCCATAACACCTTCCAGTTCGAGACGAGGGAAGGTGAAAGGGGGCGACGAAACGGTGTTTCTTTCCTTGACACAGTATATGCATGCAGCGGCTACCGGTGCAGCTTAGAATTGGCATGGCGCTATGGCATTGAAAGAACCGAGCGATGTGGGTTGCGATATCGCAATGCTCTCCTTGTGAGGTTTATCGGTAGAAAGGCGCCTGGAAATGACGCAAGAACGAGAGAAGGTTTGAGAGAGAAACAGATTTCGCAATTCACACGGCGTTAATCGTGGCTGTATACCTCGAGCTATGGCAGAACATCAGTAAAACAAAAAGCTGGGTGAGTGGGTGTTTTTCCATTATCAGATTCCCGCACAATGTATACAAACAGGCAAGATAAACCATACAAAGGTTGACGGCTGAGCAAAGGCGGCTATGCACTTTTTTTTTTTTAAGAATAGGAAGGCCTAAGGTTTAACATCCTAAAACAGCGATATCATTATGAGAGACGCAGTAGGGGAGGGCTGCGGGAGGTTAGATTACACCCGTGTTTCTTGAACGCGTACCTTAAATTCGGGCACATAAGAATTTAGAATTTGGCGTCCATGTAAATACGGCCGCCCCGGCCGAGATTCGATCCTGCGACCTCGAGGTGTGGAGTGAAGCACGATAACTACCACACTCCCAAGGCAGGTCGCCTTGCGAGAGTGACCACTCAATTAACGGGGCGTAATCGAGGCTGTAGCCCCGATCGAAAAGAGGCAATGGTTGATGACTGAGCAAAGGCGGTCATGCAGCTGTTGAGAAAGGCCTGTCTTTGAAGCTGCTTGGTTAACACTGTGTTTACGCTGACTTCGTCTTTCGCTGGTGCTATGAAATATGGAGATGGCTTGTTGAGGGCACCTTAGTCGCAGAAAGAAAAACTTAGAAAGAAAGCAAGAAAGAAAGCAGCATAAGCCTGATGAAAACAGGCTAGTGTGGTTGTCGTAACAGCTCCGTACATTGCGCTAGCAGTGTGATTGCGCTGCTTTTGCAAAGGTGCGAGAGGTAAGGCACGAGGGGTGAGGCAATCACCAGATTGTAGCGTTAGTGCAAAACGGCGAGAAACGATAGAACGGTGCTAAAACGATTCAACGTGAGTGTAGAGCGTATACCTGAGCAAGGCACTGGTTCGGGTTATTTGGTAATTCCCAGTTATTAGGTTCATAGCACCGAACTTAGACAACAAAGATATTGCTCATTTATCTTTGTATGGTGTTTAGGTTTTGGGCAATAAAGCTAATAACTACGTTTATATAAAGAATCACAAGCTTCAAAGTGTATGTCCGAAAATTAATAACAATAATCAAAGGCATGGGACATCAGGACATCCGGAGCCTCCCTTTTAGCTACGCCCCTCATACGGACAGAACAAAACCGAAATAAAGGCTATACACAACAGGAAAGAGTCATATCTGCAAACGCAGCACTGACAAACATTGGCTGTAGTATATTAACGAGCAGTATAGACGAGAGCACACCTATCTCGCACCCAGGCGCCTTCGGCGGTATACTCTCGCTCCCAGACACGCCATAATTTGTTTTGAACTGCCAAGGCGGGCCTCGATAGCGTGGCAAGCAGTGGCCCTGAGTTTTTAAAATGCAAAAAAAAGCGCCTGTTCACGCTGCGCCAGCTTAAAAGAAGTCTTCTCAGTACCACTGTGCCGTCTTCGGATGAAAAAACCAGCGCGAGAGAAAGATATTACTCAGAACTGTCTTCTCACAAAAACACCTGCCGCCATCTACCGGAATTTTATTGAGCTACAGTTACGTGGGATGCGGAATATATGTAGACAAGCGACAAACTTTCTGTCACCCCCTGGCACCTTCGAGTAGGTAATTCGTACACCCGTTCTTCAGAAAGTCTGCGGAGAATTTGTAGCCGCGGAGGATGCAGCATTCCTGCAGAATAACTGCGCAACGTCTGCAGAAAGTACACAGAAATTTTGCAGCATTTCTGCAGAATATCGACGGCATTTTGTCACAGATGAACGAAAAAAAAATTGACGACAGGTCCACGAGGTGAATGATGATGAGATTGGGCGAAGCTCCTGGAAATAATACCGTGAAATTTTCTTCCAATTATTCGCCCGATGAAAAACACCTGGCGTCTTTCGTTAAGCAGCCGGCGTCTTCTTTTTGTTTTGCTTTAGAAACATCTGGCCTCTTTTCGTTGGTTTATTTCATCAATCAATGGTGTTTCGAACAAATTTTTTTATTGTTTAATTACGCACAGGAGAAATCTCACCAGGCACTATCTTGGAGGTAACCAATGGCGGCTAATGGGAATGAGAGACAGCAGAAGTCGGCTTTTAGCATTTCTACTTCTACTAACGTTTCCTACTGGAACATGCCAATAGCTGCTAATGAGGAATGAGAGACAGGAGCATTCGACTTTTAGTTAACGCGTACGCCGCGAACTTTTTATTGTTCAACAAAGCACAGGAGAAATCTCCCACCGGCACCACCTTGCAGGTCAAAATTAACACTTGTTGCACACTACGACTAAGACTACAGGGGACGAACGGGTGCCCCTTTAAGGAGCTTCACCCCTAAAAAGTAACAACTACCATTGGCGTCAGCTCAAACATTCAGGGAACATACAGCATCGAAGGGTAGTGTAACGCCCATACACTCACTAAACGAGTGCCTAACACATACAAGCAACAACAGCTAAGGAAACTCCAAGCACATAGATAGCCGTGTCTTCTTGACCAGCAATTGAGCACTGCTAGGAAAATTCCTATGCTTCGAAAATTTGCATTTACGCGTATACAGAATACGTGCAAAATTATGGCGGCTGTGAGGTTGCCGTAAAGTACACATATCTCTTATTGTGTACTTGCCAAATGTGCATCAAACATTCAATTAGAGACATTGAATTACCATCTGACAGGCAGTCGCATGCGGCTGCAAAAAAGCTGCAGCATTTTTGCAGACAGTCAGTAGACCAGGGTGACTGGTGGGTGACTGACGGGTTATTGGAAGGTGAAACCCATTAAGTTGTTTTTATGGAATATGTCATGAAACATGATGTATAAATATATCCGCACCTAATATATACATCCACAGATGCAATCACAGGGCCCACATTAAAAGACAAGTACGCTTGTCGTCTGCAGAACATCTGTAGGCTAGGTCTGTATAGGTATTACTGGTGGTTAGTTATTCACTTAGTTATTCCTATCAAGTGCGCCATGACTCAGACTGCATAGATATATACGTATATAATATACGCAACCACACGCGCACTCACAGGGTCCACATTATCACACGAGTCTGCTTGCCATATGCTCGGCGTCTGCATAAAACCCGAAGAAAGTCTTCAGACGAGGTCTACAGAAAGGTCGAGTCTACAGGAAGGTGACTAGGGTGACTGATGGGTGACTAATGGGTGACTCGTGGGGAACATAAAGGCCAAACTCATTTTTGTAAGTAAAGATCTCAACGCGATGCGGCAATCGTTCCGGCGAGGTGTTTTCCGATTCCACGGGTTTCCATCCGCAACAAAAAACGCCGAGCTCCGCCGCCAGTGGATATAATTGCAATCAGCAGGAAAAACCACGAGTCCACTAAAAGTGTACGAGTAAATATGTTATTGCGTTTTAGCGTGACGCCAGCTGTTCCGCTTTACAGCAGCGATTTCGGCGCAGTATCCCTGTATAGTATGCGGCACCAAATCATTGCCGTACTTTATCGCCGGCTGCATGCCAGTAGTAGGACATAATACGACTTACGCGAGGATGAAAGCACCGCGCACGTATACAATCGTAACGGCGTACTAAAGCGATGCACCGAGACGTGAACGGCGCGAAAAGCCTAGCTTTCGACTCAGTCGAACTGCGGCATGCCTTGACTCAATAGGCGAATTTGTGCTTTCGGTTGGCGTCACCGTGTTTTAAAATCTTGTCCTAATTGGCACTTTCGCACCGCGTGTGTGTTCCCAGTGCCCGGCATGAGTGGGAAATGACAAACACATGCAGTGAATGAGAGCAAGTTGGAGCGAGATTCTAGCTCTACGTTGACGACGGCTTACAGCACCAATTCTGCCTTGCCACAGCCAAGGCACGCCACAGGGCGATTGAGTCGAAAATAACGCTCTCCGCTATTCGCGTTTCTTTTAATCGCAATAGTATGTACCCTATGAAGTTGCTTCCGTAGTCTGCGATGCACGTGCTTTCGGGAAGGTCTCCTGGACGTTTCACACGAAATCAGCACAAAATTCCAGTAGAGGAAGAGCGCGAAACGTGCTTAGTGCCGGACTCGGGTTGTTCAGTTTCGCGTTCGATTTGCGGAGCGTCTGCTCGCGTGGCAGTGCCTCGGTGTTGCTTCGCTGCACTTGCAACAGATGGCACGACGAGCTTTTCAATATGGCCGCGCGCTCTGAGCTCGCTGTGTTCTGGTGTATGCAGGAAGGCCACGCATTGTATTCAGGAAGGACCAGCTGGCGTTTTCTATAATTGCAGCTGCAAATATTACGGAGTGGTTTGTTGGCTCGCTCCGGTGTACACTTCGTTTGTGTGAACTCTCACATATATGCTGATGACAATACAATCCTTTCTAAAACTGCTGCCAGGGCTAGTTTGTTCATGATTAAGGTATATTTACCAGCGCAGAGAAAGACGGAACCTTCAGGAAGGACACACATATACAGCGTTGAACTCACAACTGATTCATTATTTTGAAGGCAGGGCCTTTTGCAGACACACGTCGAAATAACAGAGATAACATGAAGAAAAAAGCGATGAATATCACGTGACAATTGCTTGCCCAACGCATAATCAACCGAAGGTAACCACGCAGTCTGAAATCGTTGCACCACAAAGTACGAACCCGATAAGAAATAAGTGAAAATATTGAATAATTGATCTTAAAACCAACTGGGGCAAAGGCGTTAAAGCCAAAGAAACCTAGGCAGCCACACACGAAAAATAAAAAATCACAAATGTTTAAAACTAAATTGAAAAATAGCAACAGTGTAAAGCAGGGAATGAACCTATTGAAAAGGCATGCAGCGTATGTAGCTTATTCCCTTACTTGAAAAAAAAAATGAAATGCCTGCTTACACAGTTTTCCCCTGCAGCCTCCGAATTCCGGCTGCCTCATTTTGGTCACCGGAAATGACATCGGTGATTTGAACTTACTGATGCCATTTTCGGTGCAAAGATCATTGGTGTCAAAATTCGTCCGCTTCGGTGGATAGCGCGTACTCGCGATAGCATTTGAGCAATGAAGTGAACCACGTTTCCTACTAAAATGGCCTACGTTTTCTGCGTCAACTGGTTTGTACCAGTCGTGACGCCATTACGAATACGTGATCTGATGCGCAGTGCGCAAAACAAGGGAAAGGAGAAAGGACACTAGGGGCGCAAATGTGTGGGACGCCATATGATACGCATACATTATTCCTTGATCAACGACGAGCTGCTCGAACTCACAAGTGCTGTGTGACGCCATGCTCTTCTGGTGGCCCTATACAAGGCGCCCCAACTATCACGCAAAACGATTAAAAAATTAAGCCAGCTTCACATTACGATGCCAGGCCTGAACGAGAGTGAAGCTGGATGGCCTGCCTTGTTTTCTGAGTTTTTTAGGGGCAAAGCTCTTTATTGTCGAGATTTGTCCGTTGGTGTTGTGCGCCGCAGCTGCCACTGACGATGACGACGATGATTATGACGATGCTTACGACGATGCTTAAGACGACAGGCCGCATCTATTCTTGGTGCCATCACGGCACAGCCAATGCAAGGTGCCCACTACACACCATGTCGACGACGATAATAGCCACAATCAACGACTGGCTTGTGCAGTAGATGATGGCTCGATATGCTCCACGAAGCAGTTCGTATGACGGGAAACAACCAACAACCACCGTGAAAACATGGCCAGCCCTCGCCTTCTTGAAATTCAAGCTTATACTCGACACCTCAAAGCAGTAAAAATAAAGACAAAATGAAATTCGCAACTCCACACAACGTACCACTTTTGATCAATAAACGTTGTGCATAACTGTAAACCACTTGTCACTTATTTGCATGCGTGAATAGTCAAAGTCAATGGTGGCTTATGGTAACACCAAACTATTCCATTGTTACTCTCACTCATCATCATTCACGTCGTGGATATGCCATGACCTTTCCTTTTCTTTTCTTTCTTTTAACTTCTTATATGAGTTTTTGTATACGTTTTTTATGAAATCGTGTTTCTCTTTCTCACTGTTTTCATACTTATTTCTATTCCTTTTCTCTTTTTGCTTCTCTTTAGTTTCTTTTCTCTCATTCTTCTAATCGTTTTCGTTCTCCACCTCTTAGTATTCCTTCATTTCTATTTTTGTCTTATCTTTGATATACCCCGTTCTTTCCTTTCACGTGATCATGTGAGCCACTTTACTGAGAACTGCACATTCAACCTTCCCGCCTGCTGTGATCCATAGTATGGCATGCCCAATTTAGGACTGCCGTATTCAGTGGCTCCGTAGTTGAAAGAGTAATGGCGTTACTCCTGACACGTATTGCTCCCAGTAGATTAAAGCCAGCAGTACTAATTTCTTCCTGCATTGATTTATTGATATGTGGGATTCAACGTCCCAAAACCACCATATGATTATGAGAAACGCCGTAATGGAGGGCTCCGGAAATTTCGACACCTAGGGTTCTTTAACGTGCACCCAAATCTGAGCACACGGGCCTACAGCATCTCCGCCTCCATCGGAAATGCGGCCGCCACAGCCGGGATTCGATCCTGTGACCTGCGGGTTAGCAGCCGAGTACCTTAGCCACCGGATTACCGCGGCGGGGCAATTTCTTCCTTGGTGAGTCTCAATTCGCTAGTCATAATTATTATGTCATACCTTAACAAGCACTTGCAAAATTTTCAAAATATTGCTTAGTCATATCTATGTATAGGCATGTTAAAAAAACATCTAGCTGCACTATTTTCAGCTGCTATATCTTTACTTCTTAAATGCGGGCTTATGTTTTCTATTTCATAATGAAAGGCGACGAATCACGAAAAATAATATGTGCACTGTTAGCTCCCACCCGGAAACGAGAGGAGCACCTTCAGAAAAAACTTACTGCGAGCAACAGTTTTTTTCGTTGGCCAGTGAATGGTTGTGTAGCGCAAGCAGTCATATTTTTAAGCAAGAAGCTCGCTAGCGGACGCTGCCTGCGTTGGCGTTGCGAGGAAGCGTGGGAAAAAAGGGACGGGGGAAGCAGGCGTAGGTTATTAGATGCTCCCTGCGTCAGCGTTCCGAGGCGAGAGGGGGAAGCTTAGGAGAGGAAAGTAGTAGCTCATTCATAGCGTGAGTGCGGACGCCGGCCTACGCCGCGGGACATAGACCCAAGCAAGAGATGCTTCGCATCTAAAAAACCGTCAGGCATGCAAGCAGAGAAAGGAGGATCTTCGCGACTGCATCCACTTTGTTCTCATCGCTTCGTAGGCAAAACAGCACGTGACAAGTTCCTACCTTAAGTGTTACTACAGTGTCTAGTATATTTCTAGACACTGTAGTGTTACGCACAGGTACCGATATCCTTCCGAGACCCTCCCCTGCCTTCTATTAACCCCATTGAAGTATGCCTGATTGCTCCACGTCTGTCATTTATGAGCGTTGGGCATTTGACTCACGGAAGCGACCAGTATGACTTAAAGTGGCCGGCGCTTAACGTGTCGATCGACGTGGCCAACACTGTGCAGTGTCAGTCGTGGAACGTTCCCACCAACGTCGTCACGTAGGCATAATGCGCCGGCTCGTTAACAAGCCTTGCTTCAGGAATGGCTTGTTCAGCAAATCTGCTCTGGCGCAATTTGATTTTAGTTCTAAAGTGAATGTTCTACTTTTTTGCTCTGACTGCTTTAGAAACCCTAGTATAAGGTTAGCAATATGTTGAAAACAAATAAATCAAAATGTTGCGAAGCCTTCAAGTAGCTTACATTGTCCCACGCATGTAAAATTTAAAAAAATGGCCGCACTCGTGAGTACGATCTCTGGAGTGAAACACCCCTGAGGACAGCTGTGAACGTCTAAATGATATTGAACCGAAATGCCAGCTACCCGTTTAAGTTAGACTAAGCGATCAACTGTCAAAGCGATCGACTCGCAGCCGAATATGGCTGACCAGAAGTTACAGCGTTGAAGTTTCGATCGGACTATTTATGCACAAAAAACTACACTCGCGAGTCGTTGAAGGCACCATACTGCGCGACGGAGTACGTCCGCACCGTCTTAAAACGCGGAAACATCATGCGGTTGTAATCCACGCGAGAGCCCACGCGACGACCCGTGTTGAAGCCGTCGGCGTATCTCTTCTCCTTCGCCTCTCTCACGGGCATGAACTCGTCGGGCCGTTCGATCAGAACGCCGGGAAGCGTCCACTCCAGCTCGTTGTGGAAGACGCGTTTGTTGCAGTACAACGTCCGTCGAGGTGGGAAAGGCACGAAAGCGTAGAAGTATTCGATGTCCACCGACACTGCCTTGTGAGTAGCGTCCGCACCCGTTTCGGCGTAGCGGGCTTGCATCAGCTCGTAGGCGACACGGCAGAACTGCGTGACCGAATACGGGTTTCTTACATTGGCATCGCTCAGCAACTGACATTTGGAGCAACAACAGAGCTGGTACATTAGGACCTATAGGGAAAAAGGAACGAGACTAGAAACAGATTTTCTAAGATAATTTTCTGCATCGCAGTACTTCATTTCAAGCCCTCGAGTGTTTTGAACAGAAATGTGCGTGGTTAAAATGCGCCTCAAAGACGGTGGTACTAACAAATGCATATATTCAAATTTCTAGCTAAAATATCGTTTTGTACCTGACAAATCAGAGTAGGGCACTTCGGACTAACCGGTAGTTTAACAGTTCGGCCAGTATGGGCGTCCTACAATCACGGTGTTTTTTCGCGATTTGAAGGGTTTTGGTTGATTAAAAGTGCACTTATTTCTGACTGTGTAGAATGCATTGAACATAATTCAGAAAGAATAATACTCATGCAGCCACTCAGGGGAACGTACAAAATAAAAATACGGAGAGTGAAGTAGGCGTATGACACTCTAGAAAAACTAAAGCAAAAAAAATATTGGCGATGCTTCCGCTACGCCAGAAGGCCTGAACCACAGAAACTGGATGATTCGGAAGAGTAATCGGTAGCCTCCAGGTTTTCTTTAGTTCCTAACTAAGTCATGATGGTTCTTTCTGCCTGGCTTCTAGGCTGTGGCTAGGCTTTAGGTAGCTGATGCTTCTACGTTGACTCTCAGCACAAGACAAGTTTCAGTTAACTAAGACAGTTATGGAGGCGACGTGGATGCCCGAAGCCCCGTGACATAAACTCGCGCTGAAGCCAAGCAATTGCACCTCTCGTAGACATTCGGGCTGATTGTCGATGGCGGAGGACTATACCATCGTTTCAGGGTTTTCCTGCCGCCGCCGTTAGGGGATGCGGTTCTCTTAACGGTGGCAATGAAAAAGTGAACACCGAAACTGTCTGCATCAAGAGTGTGGCACCTCAGCAGTTGTTCCACTGGAAAAAAGATAAGGAGGGAATGAAAGGGAAGAAGAATAGAATAGATTTGGAAACTGTTTGAGAAGTCCGCCGATGACGCACCGATTGGCGAGTGGTTGGCGAGGCCGTAGACCGAACAACCATCAGCCACGAAATCCACTATCTCCGCAGCCACCGTCTTCTTGTTGGACTAACTGTTGCTTTCTTCATTTTTCGGTGGACATGTGGTGAGTAGTGAATTTATTCAATTTGTGTGGCCCATACCGGCTCATGGTGACGTGTCTTATTAGTAACTGCGGGAACGCACTCACTACGAGATGACATCCATCCATGCAGTCATCGCCGATTTATCCCACACAGGAAGCGGGCGTTCAAACAAACATGGCGGGCCCGGGAAACTGCCTCACGTGACTTCGTTATACTCGTGGGCACTTTACTTGCTTTCGAGAGGTGATGTGGTGGTCACTGATAATAGGAATCAATACTGAAACAATGCCCTAGGCGCTAGTAGCTGGAACATTAGGTGACCAGTTATGGCTAGAATCGGTCGCCAGGAGAACAAGCAGTGACCTCACCCCAGAGGAGAAGGCACAAACGAGGTAGTCTGACTCGGCGAGTAGATAAATGTCAATGAGCACGTTAGCGAGAGTAGAGTTGTTCACTCGAGTCTGCAAGTCGAAGGCCTCAAGAGCAGCCAGATGGTTGGAGATGACCTTGTACGCTGGAAACCTGCATCGCCGAAAACATGTTACGTTCAGATAGTCTGTATAGTGATCCAGTTCCGGCAACAAAGCAGTCCCACTGGTGAAAGCAGGTAACTTAGAGGCTGCAACGTGAGGATGTACAAGTGCAATTGGGGCCGAAATAATTTTAACCAATAATGAGCAACAGAGGTTACATGTTTAAGCTATTTCAAAATTTAGATTTCGCTGCTATTCTGGACAGCATTGTAAACCTCCTACTCTGACAGCTTAAAGGGCATCATCGAGCCCGAGTCATCCGAGTTGTGGAAAACATCTGGAGGGCCTATGTAGAACGTGGCGCCAATCCGCGAGGAGATAAGAAAAAAAAATGAGTGGCCTAACAAAAGCAATTGCTATTTCTTCATATTCTTTATTGTTGAAAACTACGAACTATTGAGCTTAACTTGCACTGAACGTGTGGAAAAGAGTCTGTGTAGAAACGACTATGTGAAGATCAGGGCTATGTGAAGATCAGGGCTATGTGAAAAGACTATGTGAAGATCAGGGTGATATCCTAACATTTCGCTGAGCCACCTTCTTGTTTGAACAAAGAGATAGCCTGCATCATACTTCTGTTTGATGCCATCTTCTCGAATATTTTCAATTAGTCGACCACGTGAGAATTTCAACTCGAAATGAGAATGCACCTGTGCGCTTACCTGTCTATTTAGCAGTCTATGATGAATTTCGCAATACACCCCTTAAAGAAAAACAGACTCAGAAAAAGTACCTTAAAATTCAGTGAACACTTGAACAGCACATTGCTGATCATCATCATCACCATCATCATCATCAGCCTGACTACGTCCACTGCAGGACAAAGGCCTCTCCCATGTTTCGTCAGTCAACTTGGTTCTGTGCATGCTGCTGCCGTTTTATACCCCGCAAACTCCTTAATCTCATCTGCTCACCTAACTTTCTGTCTCCCTCTAACCCGCCTGCCTTCTCTGGGAATCCAGTTAATCCAGTTAGTTACCCTTAACGACCAGCGGTTATCGTGTCCACGTGCTACATGCTCGATCTATCATTCACCAAATATACTGCGCGTTACCGAAATTTGGTGTTTTTGAGGAGGTCTCAATGTTGACAGTCACACAATTACAGAAAAGTCATATTTCAACGTCCACTCGTCACCGTACATTAACCTAACGGCCTTTGAAAAAAAAATGATAAACCCCGCCTGTCTCACAAACACTATTTGTAAACATCCCGAGTTCTGTCCCGATGGAAAGAAACGCCGACGACTGAAAGCGCGGTATTTTGTCCGGTTGAAGGTCGACATGCTTTGTCTTGTGTTTGGCAAATCTGTGCATTCAGCTGACGTCACCGTAGTCGTTTAATGTAGGTCTCGCTGGTGCTACCGCACTGCGCGTGCTTTCCGGGTGCCAGGCTTGACTTCGAAATGATAAGCACTGGCGGTATGATGGCGTCAACCAGAACAGGATCCACGTGCACTGCAGTGGGTATGTTTCAATATTAATTGCAGACTGCTAAATAGACGGCTAAGCGGACGGCGGCCGCCTTGAGTCCCATTCAAAAGCTCACGTATAAAGCCGGCAAAATAGACAGCTTCGAGAAGACGGCATCGTAGACGAAAACGATGCAGGCTACTTTGCTGTCCAAACAAGATGGCGGCTCAGCGTATCGCTCGAATAGCTCTAATATCGCCGAAATGTTCATCTGCACGCCAGCCGACTTTTCTCCGGGCGCTCAATGTGAGTGACATTCAATTTTTTTTAGATTTGAACACGAAATAAGCTAAAGAAAGTAACAGTTGCGTTTGTTTATCTTAACGTTCTTTTCTGGACGCGAGGTGGCATCTCGTCGCGTACAAACAGTCAAGACAAGTTACATTTTTCAGACAATATGGGCTTGATGCTTTTTTTTTTCACGCTGTCAGCACAGACTGTCTACGATGCAGTGTAGAATCGGAACAGTGAGTACATTGACAACGGTAGAAAGCACATAGTCCTAGTGACGAATGAGGCGCGTTGGTGTTAGACGGTTCCGAAAGACTGTGCTCCGCTGTTGGCGTTTATATCCATCAAGACAGTAAATGGGTGTTGCACGTGAAATAGTCTCGCAGTTTTCAGAATATTGAGTTTACCCGCCACAATCATTACTTCAAAAAACACCTAGACAAATATATAACAAAACTTCGTCTGAGAACAGTGGCAGCATTTTGCTGTACAGTACGGTCCACTGTTAGAGGGAACACGCAAGCCCATTGCTAGCGGCCGTGGAGCGCAAACTACTGGCGAGATTCGAAAATGCCGTGCATGCACATTGATTTATTAAGTTGGTGCTTGCCTCACGTCGTTTGCTACTTCTATGCCCATGCACTCGGCGTTTGTGTTTGGCATAAACTGCCGTTCCCATTGTTTATAGTTTGTGTCTGCCCGCGTTTCGTTTAATTTAGCAGTTACTTTTCCATTGATATTGTGTCTACCCTCGCACGTGCATCTTCTATTTCTATTGATTTCTTATGGATATAAGCAGGCATCTCCTCCTATTGGTCGTATTAAACAGTCAATCATTTTCCTATTTTATTGTTGTACTCTGCGTAGATTTTCGGTTATGATATCTTACAATAATATTCATAATAATGATAATGATAATCATACCTACATTTACTATAAATACGAAGGGTAATATTACCCCGCCGTGGTGGTCGAGTGGCCAAGGTACTCGGCTGCTTACCCGTGGGTCGCAGTATCAAATCCTGGCTGCGGCGACTGCATTTCTGATGGAGGCGGAAATGTTGTAGGCCCGTGTGCTCAGATTTGGGTGCACGTTACAGAACCCCAGGTGGTCCAAACTTCCGGAGTCCTCCACTACGGCGTCTCTCATACTCATATGGTGGTTTTGGGACGTTAAACTTCACATATCAATCAACGAAGGGTACTACTACTGCAGTATACCAAGCAAATGTTATAGAGCGCCGCACCAAGCAATAAATCTGTATTTCGCCTGCATAACTCTACAGAGCAGGATCGTTTCAATGCAGTGCATTTGTTAAACATGCGCGCTAACACTGTACCGCTCGATTATAATAAACATATTCAAGCTGTCAAAAAAATGTTCTTAATATCACGCCTCTATGCGTCCGCGAGGGCCCAATAGTTCCTAGTTCAAGCTATAAGCCTGGTATCCGCACCACTTAGGTCACCGGGTTTCCGCCATAAAATTTCATCTCTTTTTTCCTTAACCACCTTGCAGCATGAAATGGTTCCCGAACATTGGTCATATTTTTTTTTTACTCTGCTATGTATTACAAAATGTTTTTTTACTTCCGTATTATCTCGGTAATTACTTTTGGGTCATCAGTAGAGACGAACACACGCTTCTGGACTGGCTGGCCCCTGAGCGCCAGGGAGCTGTAGAACTCTTCAGCATGCTGCATGTACTCGGCCACGTCATGGAACGCTGCTTCCCTCTTCTTGTCCGTGCGCCGAATATGCAAACTGTAAGACAACAACATGAAAAAAAAAGCACACAAACGTCGACAACCTAAACGCTATCTTTATATCATAGGTGTACTCATTTGAAGAATATCTACGCATCAACTATAGGTGTAGCCTAGGCGAAGGGGCGGGAGGAATTAGAACAAATTTTCCTGCCCCTCCCGAAATATTTGTACACGCACAATTACAAACGAGTGTGAGAGCTGGAGTAGCTAAGCAAACGGGACGTGAACTAAACATACGCTCTATCTTTAAAGGTGTACTGACACCTTTTTTTTTTTGTCAGAGGTGAACTTTAGTCTGCGATACGAAACTCCGGTAAACAGAGAGGAGGACTCTGAACAAGTGCGGTGCTTAGTAGTTGCCGATAAGATATTTCATTTTGATATTAAAGTCGAATTTCTCGCGGCACACACACACCAAATTCGACACTAACTTGACGTCAAGCTACCATACTAATCCTGGTGATTTCACGCAGCACTCTGACAAGTTGTGATGACGTCAAGCACGGACGCACAAAAGTAGCACTTCCGCGTCGCCCTCTCGATTGTCTGCTCGCGCCGTGCGGTCTCTGTCATCCAGCGCACCTGTGAGGTGAGCTAGCGGAGCCTGAATTATAGTGTTCGTGCACGCGAATGTATACAATATATACGCTTATCAGAGGGCAAACGAATCGTTTGATTGCGACTTTGTCGTCGTGGCGCCAATATTTCACCCTGTGAATTGGCTTGTGCCAGTGAAACGGAAAAAAAAACAGGTGCAAGTTCCACCGATTTCCGTCCGATTCGGCGCTGAAGCAAGCGTCTGTTGACCTTGTTTAGCGCGGCCGAGGCGTAGATTGGACGCCAACTGAGCGGAGTTTACTCTGTCTCCGTTCCCATCTGACACGTACACGCACGACACGCTGTTGCTGGCTGACATCGGATTGTCGACGAACAACCTGCGCCTCAAAAAGCGCTCGACACATGTTGAGATTCGGCATCCGATTTGGCGTGCGGCGGCGCACGCGGCGTGCGATGATTCCCGACACATGGGGAGAACGAGCCATCAGCGTTCGGTCTCCACCCGCATACGGCACCTCAGCTTGCACGCTCTGAGAACATCGTATCGTATTAAGCATAAAATAAACAACCCAACACAACCACACTTCGGCGTCTGATAACAGTGCCAACAAAGCTACGCCTTCGCGAGTGACAAGCGTCGGCGCAACCCACATTCATTCCCGACTCCAAACATAAGCCTAGTAAGGCCGACGTTTTCAATAGTGCCGCTCGCTTTCCATCTGAGCTGATTGTTGGGCCCTCCCTTTGCTAGCTCGATAAACCTTAGTACATTTTTATGGCACTTTTACACGTGCAACTGCATTTCTAGACGGTTTAGGTGTCAAGACCAAGGGTGAGAATGAAGCGGGCTAATTCGCTGAGACGGTCGGTGCCACTCTTTGTTCACCTGCAAAATGGCCTGCCATCACGGCTGGATATCTCATTGGTGGTTCAGAAACGAACCTTGTCTTGCAGAAGTAGCACACTTCAAGCGTCTGTTTATTCAATCGCAAGTTATTTCACGTCATAAACACTTTATGAAATGTTTTCCATGCCACCAGGAACGGCGATATCCACAAATACCAGGGCGATCGGGGTCGCGAGGAACAAACCTGCGACGGGTGCCCACCAATGGCGCCCTTGGTCATGCTTCCGCGCGGATGCGGCTTAGGCGCGAACAGCCAAACGGCCAATCGCATCCCACTTCACAGGAAGTGTCCAAAGTGTCCAGCACCAAAGTGATGCCATCCTAACGTTGAGCCTCCTTGCGGCGACACTTGCCGCTCGTGTGGCGCGCAGCAGACGATCGAAAAAGCGACGTGTTGACGAGAATACGTCACAAAAACCTGCGCCTCCACATACTACCGCCTGGTGGCGCTGCTCGCACAAAGTCGGCACTGCTCGCACCATGTCGATACAAAATGGAGGAAGCGAACCAGAAAATTGACTGGTAAATACTTAGAAAACAGAAGGGGGGCCAAACTAAAAAGAATTATCGGTTAGGAAGAAGGTGAAGGAAGCTGAGACCGATATGTGGAGAATTGGCATGATTAAGAAGTCCGCACTAGAGATCTATTGAACTTTTAAGCAGGAAATTGCCAAGGAAAGGATCTATGATATATACTCGGGGTAGTTCTCTACTGTTTGAGGCCAGGACGGGAGTATTGCGAACCAAGACATATCGGGTCAAACACGAAGAGGTAGACACGGTATGCAGTGCGTGTTGAGAGGAAGAAAAAACTGCCGAACAGTTGATAATGTTCTGTAAAGGGATTCCCCCTATAGTTCAGGAAGATGGCGCAGAGTTCTTCAAAGCACTGGGGTTTAGGAACAGGGAGGGCAAAATAGACTTTAAGCGGGTAGAATTAACTAGAAGGAGGTTATCTGATTGGTGGTTAAAGTCAAGGCATGAGTGAAAATTAAACCATTCATTGAAAAGTACGAATCCTAAACCTCACTATTTAAAGGAAAAAAATCTAGTTTTTGGTTCATTAAGTATTACGGCTTGCTGGCACTAGCCACCGCCCGATCTAAAGGGTACAGCCATATCCATCCATTCATCCATCGGCTGCAAAACAATAATCATGGTGAAGTTCCCGAAGGATGGAAACTTAGCAGGATGAGCATGATGTATAAAGAAAAGGGGGACAAAGCTGACATAAACAACTACCGTCCTATAACAGTGACATCAGTGGTCAACAGGCTGGCGATGCAGATTATAAAGGAAAGGAAAGACTGCAGGCATGGATAGAGGATGAGGGGGTGCTGGGGAACTGCAGAATGGGTTTCGGAAACACAGGAGGTTGGAATACAATCTGTTCTCACTGACGCAGTGCATCGAAATAGCAGAAAAGGAACACAGGCCCCTGTGGCTAGCATTTTCGGATATCAAGAGAGCGTACGATAGCGTGGTTCAAGAGGAATTGTGGGGAATACTGGACACACTAGGCGTGGAACATGTAGTCACTAATCTTTTAAAGGCTATCTATAAAGGTAACAAGTTAGTTATAAATTGGAAAAAACAGGTATCCAAGCCTGCAGAGGTAAAACGGGGGCTTAGGCAGGAGTGTCCCCTGTAACCCTTATTATTCATGATGTACCTACAAGGATTATAGGCCAAATTAGAGGGAAGTGGACTGGGCTTCAACCTCTGTTTCGTCAAACAATGAAAACTCATTGATCAGGCACTACCAGCACTGATGTACGCAGATGATATAGTGCTAATGGCCGACAACAAGGAAGATTGTCAGAGATTGGTGGACATCTGCGGTAATGAGGGAGATAGGTTAGATTTCAGATTCAGTAAGGAAAAATCAGCAGTCATGATTTTTATGACAATGAAGGTAGTGAGTTTAGAATACAGGAGGTCACGCTATAGATAACAGATAAATACAAATAACTGGGCGTATGGATAAGCAATGGGGCCGAGTACCTAAGGGAACACGAAATATACGTGATGACTAAAGGTAACAGGAATGCAGCGGTAATGAAAAACAGGGCACTGTGGAATTACAACAGGTATGATGTTGTGAGAGGAATATGGAAAGGGATCATAGTTCCTGGTCTGACGTTCGGCAATGCGGTCTTGTGCATGAGATCAGAAGTTCAAGCAAGATTAGAAATTAAGCAACGTGGAATAGGTAGGCCTGCCTTAGGAGCTCACGGGAATACACCAAATCAGGGAGTACAAGGTGATAAAGGATGGACATCATTTCAGTGCTGGGAAGCTAGCAGCAAGATAAAATTTGAGAAGCGATTGAGAGAAATGGGGGAGGAGCGTTGGGCTAGGAAGGTATTCAGCTACTTGTACATGAAGAATGTCGATACAAAATGGAAGAAGCAAACCAGAAAATTGACTGGTAAATACTTAGAAAACAGCAGGGGGCCAAACAAAAAAGAATTATCGGTTAAGAAGAAGGCGAAGGAAGCTGAGACGAATACGTGGAGAATTGGCAAGATTAAGAAATCCACACTAGAGATCTATCGAACTTTTAAGCAGGAAATTGCCAAGGAAAGGATCTATGATAATACTCGGGGTAGTTTTCTACTGTTTGATGCCAGGAAGGGAGTATTGCGAACCAAGACATATCGGGCCAAATAAGAAGGGGTAGACACGGTATGCAGTGCGTGTGGAGAGGAAGAAGAAACTGCCGAACACTTGATAATGTTCTGTAAAGGGCTTCACCCTATAGTTCAGGATGGTGGCGCAGTTTTTCAAAACAATGGTGTTTAGGGACAGGGAGGGCAAAGTAGACTTTAAGCGGGTAGAAATAACTAGAAGGAGGTTATCTGATTGGTGGCTAAAGTCAAGGCACGAGTGAAAATTAAACCCTTCACTGCAAAGTACGAATCCTCAACCTCACTACTTAAAGGAAAAAAAGAAATCTTATTTTTTGTTCATTAAGTATTACGGCTTGGTGGCGCTAGCCACCGCCCGATCTAAAGGGTACAGCCATGCAGAGATTGATAGACATCTGTGGCAACGAGGGAGATAATTTGAAGTTCAGCGGGGGAAAATCAGCAATCGTGATTTTTAGTAATAACAAAGACAGCGAGCGTAAAATACAAGAAGTAACTCTAGAAATACTGAATAAATACAAATATTTGGGTGCCTGGATAAATAAAGAGGCTGAGTATCTAAGGGAGCGTGAAAGATACGTAAAGACTAAGGGCACCAGAAATGCAGCTGTAATAAAAAATAGAGCACAGTAGGTATAACGTTGTGAGAGGGATTTGTAAAGGTGCCATGGTCCTGGGTTTGACGTTCGGCTATGCGGTCTTGTGCATGGAATCAGCAGTTCGAGCAAGATTGGAAATTAAACAACGTGACCTAGGTAGACTTACTTTAGGAGCACACGGGAATACCTCAAATCAGGGAGTACAGGGTGACATGGGATGAACATCGTTTAAGTGCCGGGAAGCTAGCAGCAAGATAGAATTTGAGGAGCGATCTAGAAAAATGGGAGAGGAGCATTGGGCTAGAAAAGCTTTTCGCTACTTGTACACGAATATTCTTAATAATAAATGGAGGAAGCGAACTCGAAAATTGTCAAACAAGTATTTAGACAACAGCAGAATACCATGCCAAAAGGAAACATCGGTTAAGAAGAAGGAGAAGGAAACAGCGATCAAGGGACACGTGGAAGATGGGAATGCTTACGAAATCATCACTGGAGGCGTACCGATCTTTTAAGCAAGGAATTTCAAGGGAAAAGATTTACGATAATTCTTGGGGTAGTTCTCCGCTCTTCGAGGCTAGAACGGGAGTGTTGCGAACCAAGACGTACCGAGCCAAATACGAAGGCACAGATACAATATGTAGTTCGTGTGGAGAGGAGGAGGAAACGCCTGAACATTTGAAGATGTTCTGTAAAGGGCTCCGCCCTATAGTCGAAGACAATGGCACCAAATTTTTCAAAGCATTGGGCTTTAGGGGCAGTGAAGGCAAAATAGACTTTAAACGGGTAGAAGTGACGAAGACGAGGCTAACTGATCGGCGGCTAACATAGTGACAGCATTTAACTTTATGGCTAGGTGGCGTGATCCCACGACCCGATCTAAAGGGCACATCTGGATACATTCATCCATCTATCCGTGACTTCAGGGCAGGGTAGGAACCAAAACTACCTTTTAAAAGCATGCTGTAATTAAGTTTTGATGGCGAACTCACGCTTGCCGGTACACTTTCTACACTCTCGGGTGGTTGATCTTTCCTTTGACGGAAAAAAAAAACGGTAAGTGAAAAATTTCATGTCAGTGCCTCTTTCAAGACACTGTCTGTTCATGACACAGATGACAGTAAAGATGGAAGTGGTAAACATACACTCAGATTATCTGTAAAAGTCTATCTTGAACAACCAGTTAGTACACGTTACTTGGATGGTAAACAGTTTTAATATGGGACGAAGGAGTTCCTCTCGTGAACGCACAAGCGGACGGAGCGTAAGATCTGCGAAGTTCCATGCCTAAAGAAAGAGAATGCCTGCGTCTGTGATGCTTCAATCGCCGCCCTTGAAAAGGAGTTAGTGCATTGGTCACCCTAATGAAGTTACCTCAACACATGGCGGCCAACGAAGTTGTTTCTTTCTAGTCATCGTTATATGTACCGACCTAGTGACTTTTCCCGTTCCTTTCTTTATAATTTCGTACATATTTTTGAGGCAATAAGCTTGTACTTAATACACAATTGTATCGGGCCAGTTGGTAAGGATCCATCTTGCTAGGAAGCGCAGCCACTATTACAAAGAACACACAACACAAGCGCTTAACTTCAACTAAACGTTTATTGCAAACGTCAGAGTTTATAAAGGGGGTGAAAAGAGAAAAAGAATAAAAAAGGTAGACAACAATAAGCACACGTGCCAGTCCCGTACAATACTCTCCGGTATTGTCTATCACCCCATCCATTCGTGGATGATTATTTGGTTTTTTTGAAGTGTGATGCCAAAGAGTTTCGAAGTGTTGATATTTTGACACTTGGAGTACTTGATACAGTTTCTCAGCCTCTGAAACTAACACATGAAGTGCCCTATGGTGATACGCTCAGGTTCCTAGATCTTTCATTGCAATTTCAGGATGACTACGTTTGTTGGCTTTATGAGCCCAGGAGCAAAAAGCAACTGTTGCCTTTCTCTTCTGCCCATGTCAAAGTAGTAAAGGGGTCTGTTGCACGAATGTGCATTTTTAATTCGTTGAAGAATTCATGTTTTCACCTCATGAAGAAGAGCTTTGAGCATCAGGTTTTGCGACTGAAGGCAGCAGGTTACCCGCAACGAATGGTTATTATCGTCGCCGAATCGCTACATAGGGACCTAAAGAAACAAAATAGGCAGCGTAATAACACTTCCCTGCAGCAGCGTAAAACGGCTGTTGTCCACTATATCCATAGTGTGGCACACAATCTTAAAAAAGATTGGTAATAAGGCGGGCGTCCGAGTGGTCATGTCTGCTCCTGAAAAACTGTGCAGAATATGTCACAAAACTTGTCCTGTTTCAAAAGAAAAGAAAGGTTGCCAAATTAAGCATCGCAATAAATATGTTGAGTGTGCCCAGTCGGTTGTTCACAGAGTGCCCTTGTCATGTGGTCTTGTTTATGTGGGAACAACTGAAAGATGCATTAATGAGAGGCTAAAAGAACACCACAATAAAGTGCACAAGGGTACCGATGGTCACTTGGCGATCCACTGTAAGGAGTGCGGTTGTGTGCCTTATTTCGATAACACGTGCGTGTTATATCGGGACAGACATTCATTAACCCGTTTGATAGTAGAAGCGGCGGAAATGACACGTGATGATTTTGAGTGTGTTAGTGCACCCTCTATTTCGCTCACGCGGAAAGAACTATGTTTTTTGGATGGGGTGATAGACAATACCGTATAGTAATGTACGGGACTGGCACGTGTGCTTTTTGTTGTCAACCTTTTTTATTATTTTTCTCTTTTCACCCCCTTTATAAACTCTGACGTTTGCAATAAACGTTTAGTTGAAGTTAAGCGCTTGTGTTGTGTGTTTTTTGTAATAGTGGCTGCGCTTCCTAGCAAGATGAAGCTTGTACTTGTTTCAAGCGCTTGTGTTCTGTGACTCTTTCTCTTTGTCCCGTTTTTGCGCAGTTTTTAATTAAAGTAATATTTGTGCGCGTGTAAGGTCCTTTAAATAATTTATGAAATATTCTAATAATACACTTTTAAAGGGGCCCTGCAACAATATTTGAGCATGGTCAGAATACGCTGCCGATGAATAGTAGAGGCTCCCTACAACACGTGAGCCAAATGGTATAGCACAGCACGCAGCCTGGAATTCACAATAAATTATCAGTCAGCTAAAAATTGCTTTCTCTTCTCCCGACAAATGGCGGAATATGCCCAAAAATCACACGTGAATTACCCATCTATCAGCCATTGGCTGATTTGAACTTGGCGCGCTCGCTCTTTACAGAGATCGCCGCGGGAGACCGCAACTTGTCCACGCGGGCGCGCGCGATCACACCGAAAAAGCGGTGCATTCGAAGAGCAAAAAAAGAAAAAAAAGTGCTCAAAGCCATGAGGCGCGTGTGACGTTTTTCTGTGGCCCTGCAATCTCTCCCTGTTTAGCTTCCAGTGCTTTCGTCGGGACGAGAGAAGAGAGAATGCAATTGCAGCATGCGACAAACCTTTGTAACTCCACTCGCACTGGAGAGATTCTTAAAATTTTTGCGGCGTTGAATTCGTGAGGGATTGAGCTTTTCCGGTGAATTCATTCTACGGTTACTTGAAAAAGCGTTTCAGGGCCCTTTTAAGGGCGGGAAGGGATCGATATACTCCGAATATGAGGTGGTTCAGGGCTCCTCGAAGCTTTCATGGTTAGTCGCAGATTTCATGTAACTTTGCAATAGAAACTCACGCTACAATTGGATGCTTGTAGTCATGGTTCATCTTGAAGTCTTCGATGAGTTCGCGTGTCGAGTTCTGTAGCCGGAAGACGTAAGCCATGATCTGGCCGTACCACCAGGCGTACGGGCCACCGTGATTCGCCACCAGGTCCTTCGTGATAGACGCTGGTAGATCCAGAATTTGGCTTCGCTCTTTTAGGACTGAAAAAAAAGAATAATTTCCAAGTGATACATTACACTTCCAGAGAATCCCAATTGACAAAAAGTCGCAGGGAAACCACAAGGGCGATGCAATAAATGCCCGAGCGAGATTCTGAAAAAAAAAAACAGCAGAGCGAACGGTCCCATGTTCGAATCCGTGGTCGGCTATTTCGGAGGTCTTCTTCTGATGTAGTTTTCGTTGTGCCCTTTTGTGTGTACACACACACACACACACACACACACACACGTGTGTGTGTGTGTGTGTGCGCACGTGTGTGTGTGTGTGTTGTGTGTGTGTGTGTGTGTGTGTGCGTGTGTGTGTGTGTGTGTGTGTGTGTGTGTGTGTGTGTGTGTGTGTGTGTGTGTGTGTGTGTGTGTGTGTGTGTGTGTGTGTGTGTGTGTGTGTGTGTGTGTGTGTGTGTGTGTGTGTGTGTGACACAAAAATGTCAAGGAATGTATAGGGGAAGTTATTAGAATCATGAACGTAGCGTGTAGTAGCGCAGTACATAAAAGAAAGGGACTCGACACAGACATAGAGATAGGTAGATAGGTTAGCGCCTACCTATCTCTACGTCTGTGTCGTGTCCTTTTCTTTTATGTACTGGGCTAATACACGCTACGTTCATGGATGACCAAATCGCCCGATCAGCAACCCTTATTAGAACCAATGTAATGTAAATAAGAAGAAATAAAAGTGAGTAAAAGAATAACTTGCCGTGAGCAGAAATCGAACGCTTGTACCACGCATTATCACTGCGATACTACACGTGGCACTGTGAAGTATATGGACATAACGTGTGTTTTTAAAGCAGGAATTCTACTTTCCCTGCATCAAAAAGGAGACGGGTGGCTGTGAGTAGAACACCTGCTTGTCATGCAATTAACACGAGTTTGATCCTTACATGGACCTGAATTTTTAGAGACGATAGTCTTTCTTGGGGACCTTTAACGCAAAAAAAATTGGTCTGTCTGTCTGTCGGTGGTCTTATCTGTTTGTCCCCCGAAACAATACTGGCAACCATAACTCTATGCTCGCAACGGCCGAAATCCAACCGCATCCACAGCGCCCACCAATATTGCTCAAATTTCGGCGTTCATACTTGTGCGATTGTCCGTTAAAAGGCAAAAATTGCGCATATTATAGGCATAATATCAACACGCCAATATTCTGTAGTTTATTGTGCCTTTATACTAGCGAAGGCATACATGAGTAATATTACGGACCATAGCGTTTATCACGCTGCGCTGAAAAGGCAACGCTATGCACGAAAACGCAAGCGTTTTCAACGCTTTGCTAAGACGACTTGGTGGTGGCACCTACCTGTCGTCTTGCGTTCTACACCTTATCGCCTCCGAGAAGGGCGCGCACAGCGCGTGGTTTGTTTCCCAAGCTAACTGCCAGATAGCCCTCATGTCTCACGTGCCCAGATGCGCTCGTTTGCCTCCGCTGCACGCATCGAGGTACTTAACGCAGCGCCTCCAGAACGCCATTCAGTGGTGTTCTCGCTCAGAACATCAAATAAACGTTTTGTTCACTTTCTTCAGGCGCAAAACAATCGTCTTTCGGCGACATTCGCAGCGAAACATGCAGATATGGGGCCATGTTTTTTAATCTTCATTTTATATGATTCCTGCACGATTTTAAATCCCGCACATGATGATGATTTTTTGCTCACAACCAATGACCCCGATGCCAAAGTTTCTGTAAAACGAGATTTTAGGCGCCATAGCAGTATTATCATTTTATTTTCGGCATGCTGAGGCAACCGAACATGATTATGACAGTTTTTTAGAACTTGAACTGCTCTGAGAACGAGACACTGGACCGGAGGAAGACAAAACTGGCGCTTGTCCTGCTTTATTTCTCGCCTCTAGCACAGTATAACTCACAATAACGGCTGAGAATCAGCCTCCCTACATACGTTCGCGTTAACATAGTTGACTATAAATGTTGGAAAGTGTGTCCCCAGGAACGACGAAGACATGAAAAAAAAACATGCACACAAGAGCAGGGTCCAGTGGGTACGTGTTCACTGTTCTATTATAGCATTGCATATATTGTGCAGCTTAACCTTGCAACGAATTACATCGACTTGTTCCGATTCAAGCGCTCTTATAAAGCATGTGCAAATGTTTTTTCGAGGGGATCTATCTACAAGACAGTTAAAAAAAGAAATATATTAATCAAGCACTTTGACTTCATGCGCTCTTACAACTGCTCTCTTTTATCTCGGACGTCATGACGGAGAGGCGACAGTTTAAGCTTATTTCTTCGTCACGTGACAACTCCTCTGCCTGGGATTCAATATTAGCGGTTTTAAGTTTTGGCGATGCAAGCTGCTATTTAGCGCAAGCTGATCGTGAGGCTACCAGTAACTTTGAAGATTTCACACAATTGCTGCCTCACACCTGCATCATCTCCGCCGCGGTGGTCCAGTGGCTATGGTACTCGGCTACTGACCCGCAGGTCGCGGGTTCAAATCCCGGCTGCGGCGGCTGCATTTTCGATAGAGCCGGAAATGTTGTAGGCCCGTGTGCTCAGATTTGGGTGCACGTTAAAGAACCACAGGTGGTCGAAAATTCCGGAGCCCTTCACTAAGGCGTCTCTCATAATCTCGTAGTGGTTTTGGGACGTTAAACCCCACATATCATTCATCAGTCACACCTGCATCATCAATTTCACCGAGGATTTCCCCGTACGTGGGGTGTTTAATATTTCTGCAATTGACATAGTTATTGTAATTGCTGACCAGAATTATATCCGGGGTAGCCGTCGACTATCATGTTTTCGGAGCCAGCACCGTTGCAAGAAGGACCAGTGACAGGTTGGAGCACTTCTGTCCAGCCACCATCGCCTTGAGCATAGTGCCAACGCGTGCTTTTGAGAATCAACGTGCGACCCATTCGCAAGGCTGCCACAAAGCACCAAAGGACGTCGTGAGCACCGGCCGCAAGTCCGCACGTGTTGTTGAGCACGCAGCGCAGCTTGGGCGCTGATTTGCAGTCGGCTGGGTTCTGCAGAGCAAGACAAGAACAAAAAAAAGTGACTGATAACTCTTCCTAGGAATCGATATAACATGAAAGTGAAATGTGTATTCACAGAGGAAGTTGAGTGCTTGTTGTGCATCGACTGTTTCACCGCAAGGGTGAAGGGTAAATTCTACAGCCACATGTGTCCAGTCATGTGCAGAACGACAGGCATTTCGAAACTTAAAGCGCGCACCTCAAGCAGAAAGCACACACGAAATTAGCATACACAGTACGTGCGCGGACTAACAACTGTCAAAGCTCGACACTTAAAAGGACCCTGAAACTGTTCTTAAGCTTTGTCAGCATTTAGCCTACAGCATCACCAAACTATTCGCACAATAAATTTAGCGACACGCTGTGTATCAAGACCGCTGCGGACAGTTCTGTCATACCCTACTTCTCATCTCTGCCAGGCCTCCTGAAATTATGGGGTATGCTGGCATCGCTGTCGATCGCAGAGCTCATGTGAGCGCGTTCGATGATCGGGGCTTTTACCAGTCTAGACCTCCGAAACCGCACGCTGAAAGGTTCCGCACAGTCTCGAAGACCATCACATTGTCCGCCCCGCAGCACACACACTGTCTAGCAGCAGAGACGAAGATCGCGGAGTGGTTCGTATCTGCTCCGACAAGTATCGCCACCCTACGGGCCGATCTTAGTTCCGTGCATTTTACAGTCCATGGCAGTCGATCAGATCAGCAGCCACGGCGACGTGGCGGCTCACGTGGTCTGGCCAAGAGGCTGTCACTCCGTGAAAGGCCAGTTGAAAACGCATTTGGCCGAGTCCCAACGATCTGCATCGATCTGCAGCGATTCGCAGCTTTCAAGTGCTATATCAAACTACAGATATTACGCAGTAAGCTAAAATCGGTCTCCAATTATGACGCTTGGGACTTGGTCTACCAGCTCGATGTGTTTGTACGAAATTGCCAAAACAGTTTCAGGGTCACCTTGAAACGCGCTGTTTCAACTGAAATATGCACAAAACGAACGCACAAGTATACAAAGGACAAGCGCAAACAACTGCCACTAATCTTACTTCTTTCTGTGGTGCGAGCATAAACGCGGCCGGAGAAGCAAGTGAAGTGACCTTCGCGCTCTCCTGAACGGGAAGTTTTATGAGCTTACGCGCAAGAGAGAACATGTTACCACCATAGGGTGTATGGTGCATATAAATATATGGCAGTTAGTAATCTGAAAAATGTACGCTACGTTGCCTAGTGGTCCACATAGCGCGCTGTGAAATAAGAGGTCACTGGTTCAACGCCCCGCGACCGGAACCTTTCCTTCTCATTTTTTTTTCGAACCTGTTAGTATATATTCTTCCACGTAATATCCGTAATGAAAAAACGTCGGCGGAACCGCCATGGTGTACATAGTATAAAGCATTTCGGGTTCAATAATGTAGTGATCGATACATGTAGTGATCGATTTCCCTGTGTGTGATCAAATTTCTACGCTCAGTTTGAAAGCTTGCCTATCAACTACTTCGCCGTTGTGGAACAGTTTTTACAGTGCTCAGCTGCTGACCCGAAGGTCAAGGAACCAATCCCAGCTACAGAGGTAGCATTTTCCACGTAGATGGAAATGAGATAAGCTCGTGCACATAAATTTAGTTAGACGTTATAAAACGCCAGGTGGCATAAATTTCTGAAGCCTTCCACTAAAATGGTCCGCATAATGATTGGGTGACTTTGGCACACCAAAGCCTATTGATCACTATTATTATAATGATGGTAGGGTTTAACGTCCCGAAACTGCCATATGATTATGAGTGACGCTGTAGTGAAGAGCTCCGAAAATATGGACCACTTGGGGCTCTTTAACGTGAACCTATGACCACTACCAACCATCTGTGTGTAATTATTCTTTGCTGACTGTTTTCAGGAATCAATTTTGTACAACCTACAGGAAAGTGCTAAAAACGTATTTTTATCTGTATATAAATATCTCTCAGTCTGAAATTAGTCTTTAGCTCTTGGTTTCTTTTTGGTTGTTGTGCTTAGAGAGGCTTGATTTTCGTTACTGCTTGTGCCATGAACGTTATGAATAATGCAACTAGTGCAATGTAGCTTCTCTCACCTGAAGCTGTTCAATTGTTTTGCGGACGTAGTTGCGAAGGCTTTTTTCCGCACTCATTCTGACAGCTCGGTCTGTCTTTCTGATCGCTGCTACGTCTGCTTCCAGAACCCTGCAAGTAGAGCGATAAATTAGGCATTAGTTTAAAACGCATTTGGCCGAGTCCCAACGATCTGCATCGATCTGCAGCGATTCGCAGCTTTCAAGTGCTATATCAAACTACAGATATTACGCAGTAAGCTAAAATCGGTCTCCAATTATGACGCTTGGGACTTGGTCTACCAGCTCGATGTGTTTGTACGAAATTGCCAAAACAGTTTCAGGGTCACCTTGAAACGCGCTGTTTCAACTGAAATATGCACAAAACGAACGCACAAGTATACAAAGGACAAGCGCAAACAACTGCCACTAATCTTACTTCTTTCTGTGGTGCGAGCATAAACGCGGCCGGAGAAGCAAGTGAAGTGACCTTCGCGCTCTCCTGAACGGGAAGTTTTATGAGCTTACGCGCAAGAGAGAACATGTTACCACCATAGGGTGTATGGTGCATATAAATATATGGCAGTTAGTAATCTGAAAAATGTACGCTACGTTGCCTAGTGGTCCACATAGCGCGCTGTGAAATAAGAGGTCACTGGTTCAACGCCCCGCGACCGGAACCTTTCCTTCTCATTTTTTTTTTCGAACCTGTTAGTATATATTCTTCCACGTAATATCCGTAATGAAAAAACGTCGGCGGAACCGCCATGGTGTACATAGTATAAAGCATTTCGGGTTCAATAATGTAGTGATCGATACATGTAGTGATCGATTTCCTGTGTGTGATCAAATTTCTACGCTCAGTTTGAAAGCTTGCCTATCAACTACTTCGCCGTTGTGGAACAGTTTTTACAGTGCTCAGCTGCTGACCCGAAGGTCAAGGAACCAATCCCAGCTACAGAGGTAGCATTTTCCACGTAGATGGAAATGAGATAAGCTCGTGCACATAAATTTAGTTAGACGTTATAAACGCCAGGTGGCATAAATTTCTGAAGCCTTCCACTAAATGGTCCGCATAATGATTGGGTGACTTTGGCACACCAAAGCCTATTGATCACTATTATTATAATGATGGTAGGGTTTAACGTCCCGAAACTGCCATATGATTATGAGTGACGCTGTAGTGAAGAGCTCCGAAATATGGACCACTTGGGGCTCTTTAACGTGAACCTATGACCACTACCAACCATCTGTGTGTAATTATTCTTTGCTGACTGTTTTCAGGAATCAATTTGTACAACCTACAGGAAAGTGCTAAAAACGTATTTTTATCTGTATATAAATATCTCTCAGTCTGAAATTAGTCTTTAGCTCTTGGTTCCTTTTGGTTGTTGTGCTTAGAGAGGCTTGATTTTCGTTATTGCCTGTGCCATGAAAGTTATGAATAACGCAACTAGTGCAATGTAGCTTCTCTCACCTGAAGTCGTTCAATTGTTTTGCGGACGTAGTTGCGAAGTCTTCGCATTTTTTCCGCACTTTTTCTGACAGCTCGGTCTGTCTTTCTGATCGCTGCTACGTCTGCTTCCATAACCCTGCAAGAAGAGCGATAAATTAGGCATTAGTTTAAAATCACTAAATATTCCCTGTCGGGCATCGTTTCAGCATTCGGAAAAGCTTCAGAAACACAATAATTGCAGCTAACACATAATTTTAAACACATCAAGTTACATTTCCTGAAGGTATATAGACTGTCTTTGCACTGAGGGTGAGCTTCACAAAATGAGTTAGTCATGGTGTAAATTCTGGGGTTGGGAGTCAGCATAATTATGACTCCAATTATAAAAAAATATTTACACCGTTAATTAGGGCTACTAAGTCTTGCAGGCTGCATGCAGGTCATACCATCTAACTGGGCAAGAAGCATTTTATAGGTTGCTTAAGCTAACGGGTCTCCTGTTTCTGGATGTACAGATAACATACAAGATCAAACTCGTCAAAATATCATCATCACCAGCAGCAGCAGTGGTGGCAGCAGCAACCTAATTACGCACACTGCAGGGCACAGGACACTCACATGTGTTACCAATGAACCTCTTCCTATGGTTTCTTCTGCTACTTTATACCTGCAAACTTCTTAATCTCCTCTGCCCGCTTCACTTTCTATGTCCCTCTCATGCGTTGCCTTCTCAAGAAATCAAGTCGGTTACCCTTAATGACCAGCAGTTACATGTTCTACATGTACTTGTTCATTTTGTCTTCTTGATTTCAAATGTGACGTTTTCAAACTTGGTTCGCTCCCTGACCCACCCTGCCCTCACATAAACGCGGCCGGAGAAGCAAGTGAAGTGACCTTCGCGCTCTCCTGAACGGGAAGTTTTATGAGCTTACGCGCAAGAGAGAACATGTTACCACCATAGGGTGTATGGTGCATATAAATATATGGCAGTTAGTAATCTGAAAAATGTACGCTACGTTGCCTAGTGGTCCACATAGCGCGCTGTGAAATAAGAGGTCACTGGTTCAACGCCCCGCGACCGGAACCTTTCCTTCTCATTTTTTTTTTTCGAACCTGTTAGTATATTCTTCCACGTAATATCCGTAATGAAAAAACGTCGGCGGAACCGCCATGGTGTACATAGTATAAAGCATTTCGGGTTCAATAATGTAGTGATCGATACATGTAGTGATCGATTTCCCTGTGTGTGATCAAATTTCTACGCTCAGTTTGAAAGCTTGCCTATCAACTACTTCGCCGTTGTGGAACAGTTTTTACAGTGCTCAGCTGCTGACCCGAAGGTCAAGGAACCAATCCCAGCTACAGAGGTAGCATTTTCCACGTAGATGGAAATGAGATAAGCTCGTGCACATAAATTTAGTTAGACGTTATAAAACGCCAGGTGGCATAAATTTCTGAAGCCTTCCACTAAAATGGTCCGCATAATGATTGGGTGACTTTGGCACACCAAAGCCTATTGATCACTATTATTATAATGATGGTAGGGTTTAACGTCCCGAAACTGCCATATGATTATGAGTGACGCTGTAGTGAAGAGCTCCGAAAATATGGACCACTTGGGGCTCTTTAACGTGAACCTATGACGACTATCAAACATCACCATCTGTAAGTAATTATTCTTTGCTGACTGTTTTCAGGAATCAATTTTGTACAACCTACAGGAAAGTGCTAAAACGTATTTTTATCTGTATATAAATATCTCTCAGTCTGAAATTAGTCTTTAGCTCTTGGTTTCTTTTTGGTTGTTGTGCTTAGAGAGGCTTGATTTTCGTTACTGCTTGTGCCATGAACGTTATGAATAATGCAACTAGTGCAATGTAGCTTCTCTCACCTGAAGCTGTTCAATTGTTTTGCGGACGTAGTTGCGAAGGCTTTTTTCCGCACTCATTCTGACAGCTCGGTCTGTCTTTCTGATCGCTGCTACGTCTGCTTCCAGAACCCTGCAAGTAGAGCGATAAATTAGGCATTAGTTTAAAATCACTAAATATTCCCTGTCGGGCATCGTTTCAGCATTCGGAAAAGCTTCAGAAACAAATAATTGCAGCTAACACATAATTTTAAACACATCAAGTTACATTTCCTGAAGGTATATAGACTGTCTTTGCACTGAGGGTGAGCTTCACAAAATGAGTTAGTCATGGTGTAAATTCTGGGGTTGGGAGTCAGCATAATTCTGACTCCAATTATAAAAAATAATTACACCGTTAATTAGGGCTACTAAGTTTTGCAGGCCGCATGCAGGTAATACCATCCAACTGGGCAAGAAGCATTTTATAGGTTGCTTAAGCTGACGGGTTTCCCGTTTCTGGATGTACAGATAACATACAAGTTCAAACTCATCAAAATATCATCAACACCAGCAGCAGCAGTGGTGGCAGCAGCAACCTAATTACGCACACTGCAGGGCACAGGACACTCACATGTGTTACCAATGAACCTCTTCCTATGGTTTCTTCTGCTACTTTATACCTGCAAACTTCTTAATCTCCTCTGCCCGCTTCACTTTCTATGTCCCTCTCATGCGTTGCCTTCTCAAGAAATCAAGTCGGTTACCCTTAATGACCAGCAGTTACATGTTCTACATGTACTTGTTCATTTTGTCTTCTTGATTTCAAATGTGACGTTTTCAAACTTGGTTCGCTCCCTGACCCACCCTGCCCTCACCCTGTTAACACATATAATTTTCTATTCCACCGCTCACTGCGTCGGTTTTTATCTACGTTGACCCTCTATGTGAGCCTTCATGTTTTTGCTGCGTAGGTGGGTACCTGTACGATGCAGCGGTTACACACCTTCCTGAATAAATAATACATCTAATTGTATACAAACAATGAAGTTAAGTTTTACTGCACTGCTGCTAGTTGCATTTGGCTCTTTTGACGCTGAATCTTGCAGGCTACGTCGGTTGGCTACACCGAAATCCACCGAAACCACTACTGCATTATAAAATCAAGTGATTTTTTTCCTAGCACTTGCGGATAAGCTCAACCAAGGCGGCTGCATTTGCATACAGGGTAAATGCTGAGGCCGGTGTACTAGGTTTAGGTGCACGTGAAGGAACCCAAGAAATTAAAAATTTTAGAACCTCTTTGACATCATAACAGAATTTAAGGCAACCAAGGTTGCACGGAAGATTGTTCACTATCCATAGAGTTTGATCTGTGTTTATGTCACGTGCCTTCCTTCTGCTCTTTTTCGTTCTGGATGCACTCTAGGTCGGAGGCATAACAAACTAGAGCAAGAGTCATTAACTTCGGCACATCACGCAGAAATTAGCGTACAAATATAAAGTGCCCATAACTATGAATAGGTTAGACACCTATGGCAAAGCCTACCTCAGGTATTCACGAGCCTTGGCTAGGAACGCTGCCGCTCTGGTGATCTTGCCATTAGAGGATCGCCTTGGCAAGTGTCGCACGAGAAATTCACGCATTCCTTTGATGCTGGACTCCAACCTGGCCAAGCGCTCGACGTGAATATCATCAGCACCTGTTGAAAGAGGTCTTTGTTGGAATTTCCGTGCTCTATACCTTAAACTCTCAAAATGATTGATTGGGCGAGTCAGCGAACCACTGTATCTGTAATATGAGCGCCTAACATAGAGAGGTACTAAGAAATGTATCCGGGACTTAACCTGAACAGGACCACCTTGTCGGATGTTCTATCGGTACATTTATATGTTCCGACCGGGTATAGTGGGTACTTGAAAAAGTGGTGAATATAGTGAAAATAATATTGCGTAAACTAGAAAGAGTGGGTACTCGAAAAGATGTTGATATGTTTGATATGTGGGGTTTAACGTCCCAAAACCACCATATGATTATGAGAGACGCCATAGTGGAAGGCTCCTGAAATTTCGACCACCTGGTGTTATTTAACGTGCACCAAAATCTGAGTACACGGGCCTACAACATTTCCGCCTCCATCGGAAATGCAGCCGCCGCAGCCGGGATTTGATCCCGTGACCTACGGGTCAGCCTGGAAAAGATGTTGGATATAGCAGAAATACTACTGGGTAAATGTGAAACTGATATGGTCATAGTGTACAGTGGTGAATGGCATAGTGTACCTTAGAAGTCATGGTGAAATGAATGGTGGTCAGTGCGAGCAAAATAATAGATATACAGGTATGATCTCTACGCGGCAAACAATGCGACTTTCCTTATTCCATTTCTTAGCAAGGCCAACCTTCCTGACACTCTACTACGCACGCCTCGGGCTAGGAAAGACTGAAGCACATCTTCGAAATGGGCAGAAGGAAAACAAGGACACAAAAAGAATTACAACATAACACCTGCTTTGTGTGATACTTTTTTTCACGTCCTTGTTTTTGTGCTGGTCATTGAAGGATGCATAACTCCTTTCAACTTGCCAAAATATGCCTTATTCTGAATGAGCCGGTTTTTTTTTTTTTTGTGAAGTGTAAAGTGGTTTGTGACAAGTGATCCGAGTTGAACTACTTAGATTCGCACACCATAAATGCAGTAAAGTGATCTCGAAGCTACGCAGCGAACATTTCATGACAGTCTCGTCGAACGCGAAATTCTGAAAATGTTATACTCTCGCATATCATCTCCATTTTTGAGTCAAAAGACTCGCCAATATGTTCCCTGAAATCACAATGCCGAAGACAGCGTAGGCGTGGTAATGCCCTGTTTGTTCATATGTTCTTCCAAAATGACAAAACTTTTCGTCCCCCCCCCCAAAAGATGGCATTACGAAGGCAACCCAAAGAAATGCCAATTACCTGCTCGTAAGCCCAAGGCCCCGGCTATTGCGTGCCAGTGGCAATCCGTTACGTGCGTCCCTTTAATGCAGAAACAAAGTATAAGACACAACTTGAATGGCACAAAAGTTGTAGTACGTCGTGTGATGAGGGCAGAGGCATACACGGCGGCTAACAACGGAAAAGTGGTGCACGGCATCTCTGCTGTCTTGGCTGCACGGCCTCGCACTAGCACGTCATATCGGGGCTGGTTGGATTTGCTTGTTTCGACAGGACATGACGCTATATCCTGTCAAAATAAACTGCCCTGCTTTGCATTGGGGCTATGTGCTTAAAGTAAAGCCACATCACGTGAACTGCTTACACAAGCAAGCTACACCAAAGTAGGGTATCCCACCTCCTGTGAAGGGCAGCCGTACCAGTGAATGATCCAGTCGATTACTGTCTTTCATAAATATAGTCTTTCATAAATATAGGGGTATGGCATATTTTGCTTGCATACATTGCCACAACGGGTAGCCACTGGCAATGTTAAAGTGTGAGGTACGTTAAAAGGAATCGGCGTCTCCTCTTTTCGCTGTTCGTGATGGGATGCATGGTAAAATAGAAGAAGCAACACGTTCTGCCATCGTTTTTGGAAGCCTGTCGAAGTGGGCACTACTATTAGGATGAACATGCAATATTCGCTGCCATTGCATTTATGAACATGCACTCTAATTGAACTATTATATCGAAACAAACCGCAATTGAAACAATATAATATTACTCTCTCACCTGTGAGCATTGTAGGGTCGAAAGTCTTTTCATCTCGGGAGGACTGTGGCACCGGGTCTTTCGTGTCGAAGGGGTCTTTCGTCAAGCTGGTAAAAAAAAATCCACCGAAAGCTACCATCAATTTTATTCACTGGGGAAATTTTAATAATACCTAATTAAAAAAATTCTAACAGAGATATTACTGTGTTTTCTGGGAACATATTTTACTCTTTGCTTTGTTATCTTTATATTACTGCTTGAGTTCTATTTTTCTAGCAACTTATACTTAGTAATGTCGCTTTTTCTAGAGTACGAAAAAATTTATTACGCGTGTGCATACAAAATATCACGTTATATATTGTACTGATTCCCCCCCCCCCTCTTACCTTATGCCTTTTCAAAGACCTGTGAGGTACCCCTAAAGAATTGAATAAATAAATACACTGCCCAAAGCCCAAGCTCTGCTCGACGCGAGTCCTCCAGCTCACTCTCGAGACTGGTCTACAACCCGGAGCTACGGGCATTGCAGAACCCATGCAGTTCTCTAGCGCAGGTGGCCAATAGCATGCCGCTTGAAACATTCAGCTATTTTACTGAACTGATTTTTATCATACAAATAAACGAACCAAACATTGTTTGCCAAAGAACTCTCCAGCATTCTCCACTCACTTGCTTTCTGGCGAGCAGCTCAACAAACCAAAGGCCATCAAAGACGAGTCTTTTCTGATCCGCATGGCGAAGTTATTTCGTTTCATGGTGTTTTTCTGTGTGTTCTTTTTGAAGTCCTAGTAAAGAAATAAATCATCGACGACGATGAAGCATGATGCGAGTACGGTGTAAAAAACATGAATATACACTGCAGCGACTTACTGACACTCAGATATGCACAGATTGCCGAAGCACACAAACGAAAGCGCATTATTCTTCATCTTAACGTTGTGAAGATAGAGCCTAGGGTACTATTACTACATACAAAATACAGAGTACCATTGTTTACCACCAAGTGGTTACGTTTTAGAAAAAAAGTTGCATCGTACGGGCTACTGACTGATCGGTCAGTTCAGCGATTACAGCCTAGGCCGAAGTGAAGCGAGTTTCATACATCATGTAGTATGTTGTGCCATACAATCAAAAAGAATGTACTTCCTGTTGAGGCCCCTCAACTATTTGGTAGCCAATCCGTTCACAGTTAACCAAAGTCCCTCCTAGCAGGGCGGAACCTCATCTCGACAAGAGTGTTTTTACTTTTTTGACCAGCGTTTGCATTCTTGCCCATCGTGACTTTCTCTTTCCCCTCCTCTCACGCTATCAGCAATTCCTGCCTTCCTCAATGTGTCTTGAAGTTGTTTACACACTTCTGCGAAATGTGTTTATAGTCTCACCCTAACCGAACACCACAAACGAGACCAAGTTCGCATACCACGACCGAGATATATCAATGTATCTGCCCGTTCTTGCTCGGACGCCATCGCGCCGCATCCCCGCACTCAGTGAGCCGTAACTGCAGTGCTGGTCATTAAAGTAAGGGTGAACAGACCGCCATGGCCCCTTCTAACTGTTACAGAAAGCAAGGGGTTGTTTGCCTGTCATCGCTCCCCTCGCAGTCGCCATGACGCGCTATGACCTTCAACCGTAGCTTCCTTCTACAAAGTCTAAAGGACCCCAGGTGGTTTAAATTTCCGGAGCCCTCCACTACGGCGTCTCTCATGATCATATAGTGGTTTTGGGACGTTAAACTCTCATATCAATCAATCCCTCTACAAAGTGGTAGCAAGGCCACGTAACAGTATATAGGCGCTCCTGAAACAAGCCCTTCGAAAAGAAAAGAAAAACATGTCTGTTCCAGAGATAAGCACTCAGTCAAAAACTGTGCACAGAGAGAACATAGAAAGTAGTAGTAAAACATGCGGTGCCACACTGTCTATGCTCTACGATTGACATACGAGCGACAGAACATAACACGCACCTTGTGGCGGAACGTGCGGCGTGGGTACCCGGAGCTGATGACTAAGACAATACACAGGCACGTCATTAGGACTACGGTACCGATGGCCTTGACCGACAGTCGATTCTTGTTAGAGAGCATGAACCTTTCTATGACAAAAGGCATAAAAGAGGAAAAACGAAGCGTTACGAAAAATTGGAGGAAACTTGAGCTTTCGATTCAAGGACGGATTACAATAGCCCAATCAGGTCTCATGCGCACTGTCTTATGAACTGCTAGCCAACTTAGGTTCTCGGTGCAGGGCTCAACCATGCCGTAAAGAAACAAAAGAATAAGAACACCTGCGTCTGCAACGTACGTCGTTTCGAAATATCTTTGAATACCTACTGCAAGCACAGGTCCTTTTCTTTTTCTTCCTCTTGTTCCTATTCTTGACCTCCGTGCATGGCACACACCACACAGTAGAAAGTGAAATACTTCTATATTTTCTGCATTGTGTAATTCTCAGGTACGCTAGTTCTTAATTCAGTGGAAGTGCCGATTACCAATGATGAAATATGTAATGAACGTGTAATAGAGAAAAACAATAATTTAGCAGTAGTAGCATATGAATAAACGCCAAAACATACCAGTGGCTGCACCCAAAGTTGCCCCCCCCCCCCCAAATAACAGGTTCAGATAATTACGAGCCCGTAGAGGTGGTACTTACCCGAAGAGGTGGTTTTCAGAAAGGTAGTACTTGTATGTTCTTCATTGCTGCAATAAACCGGTGACAACAGATTGAAAAATGACCAATCATTGCCTCCTGATTATAGAAAAAGACAGAGGGATATTCACTAAATCTCATCTATGCAAATCAAAATTCATGTAGGTAAGGCGAACCGAAATTTTACGATGGCAACAAACATCATTCCTGAGTAAGAGGGACGTACCACTACCTCCATTGAAAGTTGTATAATCAACCAATATTTTCTCTATTGTTTCAACATTTTATGGTACATGCAATTTCAAAGTACACAGAAAGATGGTTCCTATTTGTAGCAAAATCAATTCTTCTCCAAGACTTCATTAAAACACCTGTTGTGCAAAATTTAGCATTTTACATCGATCGTGTCTGGATTTCAGAAAAATATTGGCTGCCAATATTTTATGAACAATCCTAACCCACACAAGAGTAGTGGAAGAGTCTGTTTTGAATCCTCATAAGACACGATGGGTATTAAGTCGTCCATAAGAAACAATTACTTCTTGAAACAGGCCAAGACAGTATGTAATTGCTGCGTATTGTGCACACCCGTAAGACAAAAAAGTCACAGCATATCCACGTTGTGAATGATGACGAGTCGCCCGTACATTTTCCACTTGATCATGAAAAACGTGACGAATCGTATGTACAGAATACACAAAATTGTTTGCTGATCACTATACACATATAGTGTTGAGGTGTTCATATAAGTATTCATATGGATATCTATATGCGTGTGGATATCCACAGCGTGTCAAACCGACGAACAGGGGACATGGCTTGACCCTAGGGAGCTTCACCCTTAAAACATGTGCGTTCAAAATTAAAAGGTCGGTGCTCCGGCATACTGAAGTCTACTTCCAAAATTTCACAATTTGAGGGCGTCAGCTGAAAACCTAGTGTGCTATGTCGCATAAGTTATTCGAAGTTTATAACATCGTATCTCTTCCTGGTGATGGATGACCTAGCCATCTCTAAAATTGCTAGTTCGATCATTCTTGGCTGGATTAATCCGGGTGTCTTGCAACAGAAAGCCACAGCTTTGCCGCAAAGGCAAAGCAATAAACACGATAGCAACAAATTGGAAGGTAAGGAGAAGAATGCAAAGCAGATCGAAACGTGCCCCGCGTTTCTGACGCACAAATTACGCACAAAACATAATCACAGGTACAGATGAACGCGAATAAGCATCTCACTTGTTACTCCGCCGTGTCTGAAAAGCGAGTGCAGTGATGTTTGTGCGCCCGGTAACTACAACAGAATACTTCCAGTGAAAGCCCAAGGCGTACGATTATCCCCACCACGAGATAAGCGCGCACACTAGTGAGCATGCACCTAGCGCCCCTGTCCGAGGGACAGAGTATGTGTGTTAGATGAGGGCGCGCCGCCGCCGCGTCGTGATGATCTGGCGACGCGCGCTCATTGATCCACCTCGCTGACAATGCTGAAAAAGTGATAGTTTCTCGGAGATGGCCTTCGCCAGTAGTAATTGGTACGCGTAAACAGCATTCCGTTTGAACGTTGCAGGATGTGCTCCTTCGTGGCTAAGCGGCTGACGCCTCGCTGTCACACGCAAGAGGTCGGACGATTGATTTCGCACACCGGGGTCTCTTTCTGGACTATTTTTTCTTTCTTGAGTTTTCATATATATTGATAGCTGCACATATACGGTGAACGAAGGCGACGCCGATGTCAACGTTGACGCCCGCGGCAGAATCCATCCGAGATTCTTAATATAATTGCTATCGCAGTAATATTATCTTTGGATTTAGTCAATTGCTAACCGAAGTAAATCTGTTGAAGCAGCAATTAAAAGACAATTACACTGTAATTCTTACTAGTTATCGATGGTATTGAGCGAATCACTTTAGGAACTACCGTTTCCAATATAACTTTTTTAATAACTGTACTGGAGTTAAACCTTCATTTATTGGTCTTTTTTGCACTTGTGCAAGAAAACTTTACAGAAAACCATGTACATTTTTGATGCCTGACATTTTAGCTTACGTTCTTTTCATCGTGACCATCTACAGGAACTTGGGTGAAAGGCTGATATAAAATGGACATTCCTACTCATCGGTGTTTACGCTGTGCAGCTGAGTTCGACATCTGGGCTACTGCACAAGTGCATGCTGAAAATCGCTGTGTTACTTGCGGGCAGAACGCTTGTAACATTCACCCACTTCCTTTTGTAATGGTTCGTTATACCGCCTCAAACATTGCCTGGTTATTTCTCATACTATTTTTGTCATAGCTCAAAACGGATGATCATCGCCACCAACTTGGTGGCATGAAAATTTTTATTTACAGCTCCCTACACTCTGGCCAGAACGCCAACAGTTGCGACTATGAAGAGGCCAAGAAGCGAGACGTTCTACTTTAAAAATGAGTGACCATAAATTAAACTCGGCCTGTCGAAAAATAACAGATCCCACGTGCAGTTGAAATCGATGATTTGAGAAGCACGAATGGGGAAGGATATGTCACTTTAAAATGAGCACAATGTTACGAAGTGGACATAAATTATGCCGTACATGACTTCCATGTTACTATTATCATGTTCGCGCATGACATTTATGTTCGTCATTCATTCACGTCACGCAATGCCAAATTTGGTATATGTGAAGCTAGCGAAACGGCCGCGAGCGCGCTATGAGTGTAGCTTGCAGTCATGTTTTACATGAAACGCATGTCATGATTATCATGCTCGGACGTGTCATTTACCTTTGTCGTCTGTGCACATCACGTGATGTCAAATTTGGTATATGTATAGTTAACAAAACGGCCACCAGCGGGCTATGAGCGTAGCGTGTAGTCGTGTTTCACAAGCAACGCAAATTATCAGATTATCAAGTTTGGACGGGTCATTTACCTGCGTCGTCCACTCACGTCACGTAATACTAAATTTGGTATATGTGAAGCTAGCGAAACGACCCTGAGGGTATCATGAGCATGGCACGTAGTCATGCTCTTACATAACACCCATGTCATGATTTTTCCCGTGAGAGCATGTCACTTATGTTCAACATGCAGTCATGGCATACCATACAAGTTTTGCGATAAGTCACGTGAACAAAACTACCGCAGTAGCAGCAAGGCCACCGCATGTAAATTATGACATTCATGACATAAATGTTAAGAATTTAATTGTATGACTAGTCAGTTATGCTCGTCATAGTCATGGTATGCCATAGCAAATAGAGTAGATCCTCTTAACCAAACGACCAGGAGAGCTAAAAGTCGTAGATAGATAGATAGATAGATAGATAGATAGATAGATAGATAGATAGATAGATAGATAGATAGATAGATAGATAGATAGATAGATAGATAGATAGATAGATAGATAGATAGATAGATAGATAGATAGATAGATAGATAGATAGATAGATAGATAGATAGATAGATAGATAGATAGATAGATAGATAGATAGATAGATAGATAGATAGATAGATAGATAGATAGATAGATAGATAGATAGATAGATAGATAGATAGATAGATAGATAGATAGATAGATAGATAGATAGATAGATAGATAGATAGATAGATAGATAGATAGATAGATAGATAGATAGATAGATAGATAGATAGATAGATAGATAGATAGATAGATAGATAGATAGATAGATAGATAGATAGATACGCTCAAACTCGCCAAGTTCACTAGGAAACGCTTCGCATTTAAAAAGTCAGCAGAGGTAACAATAACCGAGAGAATGGGAACTTTCTCACCATTAACTGCATGGTTGCACCGGTATACAGCTATGAATCCAGCATTAAAGCACCTCTCCCGGGCCTCAGCTGGTGTTAGTCGAGAGTCGACTTCTCAAAATAGTTCCCTTAACGCACGCTAAATGAGGTCGCAACACGGCACTCACAGGTACTACCCATTTCGAAACGGCAAACGTCGCTTATAGGTTGCAAGATCAAGGCCATTGCCTCATGCTCCTCCTGGATAACCTTCAGGCTGTTCAGCCTGGTAAATCGTCCACTCAAGGGCACCAGCACGTTAGGGAATTCGGTAGCACCACTACGGTGATGGGGCAGCATGATTAGTTATGGGGCAGCATGGCTGTATACTGGCCTTAATGACGTGTTCAATAAGTGAGCCTGAAGAACATATACATCGAAAGTGACGCCAGTTGCATGCAATTGATACAAAACAGTGCAATGCGGAAAATCTATGCAGGTTTGTGCGCACTCGAAAGCGAAGAAAAAAAATTATTGCCTTTTATTTATTACTGTGCCATTTTCTTTCAAAATAGACCACCACGCAAGATACGTAGAAACCGAGGCAACAAGGCTAACACGCCACACGCATGATCATACACTCGAAGAATACTCGTGCAACGATAACACAATCTAATATCATCTATTTACTAGGTGCAATCATGAATAGAATGCTCTTGACCGACTTGATGCCAAACAGTGTACAGTTGGTGACCTTCTAGAAATGCCGCAAAATACACCTAGCACTGAATCACAAATCTGAGAATGTAATACCTATCTGTGCGGCATTTTCCTTGTTACAATCTGTTCCTTGCTTTGCCTTCCTTACCAACACTTTTTTCGTACCAGGTACAAGCGTTATTTGTCATGTTTTTTATCTATTTTACGTTTTTATTACATGAGTTTCGTGCCCACTCCAGCTTTATTGCGTGCATGTTGTCTTCTTAATTTGTAGTTGTTCAGCCAAGCTGCTGCGGCCTAATTTGATTACTGCAGTGTTGACGTGAATGTTCTATCTTTTGCTCCCACTCCTGTATAAACAGTACAAAAGTGTCAACACTATTTTGAAAATAACACAAACAAAATCAAATATTTTAAAACCCTGAATTACCATGTGGTGTTTCACTCATGGAAAATTTCCCAAAAAAGGGCAATCTCTCGAGCACCTTCTCATGAGTGAAATCCCCCCTCCCCCCGGCCCTCAGAAAAGCTGTGGAAGTCTAAACAATGTTTAGCAGAAATGCCGTCTACCGGCATCAGTTAGGTCTAGCGCTCGGCTCTCAGAGCGATCGAATCGCTGCTAACTCCATCAGATCAGAAGATATACCGTTGAAATGGTGACCAAACAGTGAACAGCACGTTTAATTTATACGCACATAGAACTACGCTTGCGAGTCGCTGAAAGCACCGTATCGCGCTAGGGAGTATGTCCGCACCGTCTTGAAACGCGGGAATATGATGCGGCTACAATTGGCGCGACAGGCCACGCGACGACCGGTGTTGAATCCGTCGGCGTATATCTTATTCTTCGCCTCAGATACGGGCATGAACTCGTCTGTCCACCCTAATTAGTACGCCCGGAGCCGTCCACTCCAGCTCGTTGTGAAAGACGCGTTTGTTGTAGTACAGCGTTCGTCGAGGTGGGAAAGGCACGTAAGCGTAGCAGTATTCGATGTCCAACGACACTGCCTTGGGCGTCGCATCCGCACCCGTTTCGGCGTACCGGGCTTGCATCAGCTCGTAGGCGAGACGGCAGAACTGCGTGACCAAGGACAGGTTTTATAAAGATCGGCATATCGCAGTGATTTGCCCTTAGATCAACATGGCTGGTCCACTAGGACCTATAGAGAAGAGGTAATGAGACTAGGACCTCATTTTCTAACGTAACTTCATGGTTTGCAGCACTCCATTTTACGCCGTCGGGAGTTTTGCACAGGAATGTGCGTGGGCAAAATGTGCGATAGTAATGTCTATGAAGGAGCAAGTTTTGTTGGCAAGGTTATATATTATGTCGCCTCTTTCCTACTCAACAGACAAACACCTGATGAAAAGAGGAGCTGTTCGATGAGACGACCTCGTGCATCACATCGACAGTCGCCGCATAAACCGCTGTGCGCATTCAGGTCCTCTAGAACCGGATAAAGTTCTGGCGACTCATCTATTAAATAATGGAATTCATGTTTTTCCACGCGGTGTTGCGGCGGTATGTATAAAGAGCAGGTGGTGACGAGCTTAATCAATAGAACTGCTCTGACAGCCACTGCCTCTAGGAACGTAGTAGCGGTACATGAGTACATGCTACTCCTCGATTAACAATCATGGCTATACTAGCAGATGACGCTACTGAATCATCTCTCTCCTTTCGGAAGTTAACATATTGACGAGAAAATTTTGTATTCTTGAATTTTAGGTGTAATTTCTGTACACACAGCCCTATAGGAGAATGTTTACGTAGAAGTTCGTGGACATCATCAAGGTTTCGAAGCAGTCCTCTGACGTTCCATCGTATAATTTGTGTCTCTTTATTGCGAGTAAAGAATTGCTGTGTGTACGAAATGAGTGTGGCTGGGGTATCAAAGAGAAAAGTGACCCATTTTACAGAGCCTTTAGGAAACCCTGTAATTACCGTTTTTTTTTCTTTTTTAGAGCGGTCGAGGTAACCCCGCCGCTCCTTTGGCGCAGTCTGCGCCGGTGCAGCTGATGTGTCCATCGCCTCAGGAGAGACGACAGATAATGTTTTCGTTGTAGGCTTCGTCGTGACAGACGGAGCCTAAAACCCCACCGGGCTGGAGGTCCAGGGGACCTCTTTAGTTTGTGTGGTGCCCTGGCTGCTGCCAGGGTTCACAGGGGCTTTTAGTGGGGCTGTATTCAGGAAGGGCGGGACAGCCGAGGCTGCTTCCCCGTGTGGGCTTGTGGCATTTGCCTCGGCACGCTAGGTGTGGTCCAACGCATTGTCGAAAACCGAAGTGGTGCTCAGCCCCCTCGCACCACTTCGGCACACGATGCGTTCCCAGCAAATTGCGGGGAAACGCCCTGCCGCACTTCCTGGAAGCTTACGTTCTATTTAAACTTTGTGATTATTATTTATTTTTTCTCTTTTCCAGGCCACGTATGACCTGGTACTGTGCGCGGTCTTTCAACTCGAGTAGCAGGTTACCACTGACGGTCTTTGTGGCTTTGTAGCCCGCTCTTAGCGTTTCTATAAGACATTTGGGCACAATAAAAGGTGAAATGCTTATAGTTTTTTTTCTGCACTTTCACAGTGGATGATGTGGTATTTCGGGAAGTTAACTTTCTTGATTGAGAGAAATTCGAAAATTGCATCGGTGCGCCCCCTCTTGGAGGGGCGATCGGTTGTGAGGGGGCTAGGAGTTCCCATAAATTTGATAGCTTATTCGGCGGCCATGCCAGCGACCCACCTCGGAGCCCAACAAGGGAACGCTGCGAGACGCGAAGGAGACGCAAGCGCCAGCCATATATGGCCGCTATGACTTAATATATCTAGCCGAGGTTGGATATCCACACAAGGTTAACCCTTGCCGCTGAGAGTTGTGAAAGTAAAAAAAAATGCCGCCATATCCACGAAGTGAATGATGATGAGTGGGCGAAGCTCCGGAGGTAAACCTGGTAAACCATGAATCCTCCGTACATTTTGCCCACTCGATTTTATTGCAACGCTCCCCCTAGCGTACGTCACCGCACTATATCGAACGATGACACGCGCCATATGTGGCATCATTCCTATTTTATAACACCTCGCATCTTTCATAATCAACTACACGTACCGCCGTCTAGTTTATAACATCTTGCATCTTTTGGACGGACGGACGGACGGACGGACGGACGGACGGACGGACGGACGGACGGATGGATGGATGGATGGATGGATGGATGGATGGATGGATGGATGGATGGATGGATGGATGGATGGATGGATGGATGGATGGATGGATGGATGGATGGATGGATGGATGGATATGGCTGTACCCTTTAGATCGGGCGGTGGCTAGCGTAATACTTAGAACTGAACGAGAGGTGGCTACATACAGGGGACGCACAGCCCACACCTTAAGGAGCTTCGCTCCTAAAAGAAGTGAGGAGAGGACAGGAAAGATCGAAAGTAGTAGAAGAGGCGAAGATGCAGAGAGAAGGAGACAGGAAGAGGCGACTGCCGATTTCCCCTGGGTGGGTCAGCCCAGGGGTGCCGTTTACGTGAAGCCGGGGCCAAAGGGGTGTGTTGCCTCTGCCGGGGGGCCTGAAGGTACAATTACCCAGCGTCAGCTTAACCACCAGGATCCCCTTTTTCCCGGACACGGCTCAGCCACGCATGGCTAGGCGTGGGAGAGGTCGAAACTACCCGTTAGCTCGGGTCCGTGGTGTCGCTACAAACCAAACGCCTGCTTGCACAGACGCCCCTGCGGGGGGTGCGCCAGAGTTTAAAAGACAGATGTTCGACAAAATAAAATCTTCAATTACTTTTCCCCTTCGGTATGTTTTGTCACGGCCCCATAGCGTACCGTGGGCGTTAAAATCCCCTCCTAAAACAAATGGTTCTGGGATTTGCGTCATTAAGACCTTAATTTCTCGTAAAGTTACATGTTCATGAGGGGCAACGTAAACAAAGCAAATGGAGATGGTTTTCTGCGCTATGATACTAACAGCAACGGTCAGAAGAGAGGTGTTTAATGCGATGGCTCGAGTGGGAATGGAGTTTTTTACAACGATGGTGACTCCTTCCGACAGTCGATTGGCATGTTCACGATCCTATCGAAAAACGTTTAACCCTTTCAGGAAGATTATGTTTTTTGGACCAGAATTACGGATTCGAATTTCAAATCGAGTATCGAATCTTACCTATACGGGGTAGTTTGATTAATATCTGATATATAAAGTCGGAGCAGAATAAGGTTGACCATAATGCACATTTTCTAAGGCACATGTGAACCCATTCCTGAATTATTAGTCATTGCGAGAACGCATTCACCATGGAATTACGACAGTCGAAGCAGTTAGCGCCCGGCCTCTGCTGCACTGGGCAACGTCGTAAGAAAGATGGCGACTACGAAAAACTGCCTTACGTGGCTTCGTTTTACTCGTGAGCACTTTACTCGCTTTCTAAAGGTGACGTGTTGATCATATGCATTTGAAATTAACACTTGAACAATGGCTACGCATTAGTAGCTGAAATATTAGGTGACCAGCTATCACTAGAATAGGTCACCAAGAAGAAAAGCAAGCCATTGATCTCACCCCAGAAGAGAAGGTACAAACGAGGTAGTCCGACTCGGCAAGCAGGTATATGTCAATGAGCACGCTAGTGAGAGTAGAGTTGTGAAATCGAGCCTTCAAATCGAAGGCCTCAAGAGCAGATAGACGGTTGGAGATCACCTTGTACTCGGGGAACCTGCACCGCCGAAAACAGCTACGCGTTGAAACAGTCCAGTGATTCAGTGGTGGGCAACAAAGCAATGGTAATGGTGAAAGCAGGTAATTCGAAGGCTGTGATGTGAAGATTACCGAATGAAATTAGGACAAAATAATTGTATTTAATAATTAACCACCTTCGTAAACGTCCAGAGTGCATCAATATGGCACGTGCAATATTCTCGCAATATTTGCACACGAATGCGCCTGCCGTTACATACTGCTGCTTTCAAAAATATCCTATTGAATATGTGGCAATACCTCAACTGGAAACAGTGTCTGCGTTTCACTGCCCATTAGCTTGGTGATGTTTCGTGGAGAAACGCCATAAAAACTGACGTAAACTATGCTCAAGCATTTAAAAGTTTCAGTTGACCTACACATGCGACTGCGCTACAAACAAGCTCCTTATTCTCACGTGTAAAGCATGTTGAAAGAAATAGACATGCAAACGCGCACACGAGTGAAAGATCAACTAACACTCAACTAACACTCAACTAACTCAACTAACACTCAACTAACTAAGATCAACTAACATACGTCAACTAACAACCGGAAAAGGAGTGCAGTGGTGCAAAAGAAGCCCGACAAAAAGACTCTTCTGCACATGCCAAGAAAAAAAGTAGAAGCTATGAAATCAGTGCGCGTGCTTTTTTATGTGAGAGATGACTGTTCAGTCGTTAAGGGCCGTTCCACGCGCTTCCCGCACAGCCGCAACGCACGTGCCGGGACCCCTACCGCACGCTTGCAGGGAACAAATATGCCAATTGGCGACGCTGCGGAGAGTGAAAGAGCGTCGCCAATTGGCTTATTTGTCCCTCGCTTGTGTGCGGTAGGGGTCCCGGCACGTGCGTTGCGGCTGTGCGGGAAGCGCGTGGAACGGCCCTAAGCCTTTTAGATAGCTAATCGAGAGTTGGCTCGTGCATGAGCGGGCACTTTATCGATGTGCAAGGCCTCAGCCATTAGGCGCGTTTTGTCATTTCTACACATCGTTATCCCATCATACCTGGACATGCGCTGATGAGTGTTTGTGTGTACCTTAATTTTCCGCTGACGTGAGCCTTTTTCAGTTATTATTCGGCGTTGGCGGTGTCTTGGCATGTCTTTTTTTTTTTTGCGTCTGTATTTGCACGTTAGTCTCTCGAACATCAATACCTACCAACTACCTCACCTAAATAGAATTGTAAACGAGAACCCATGCAACGACGCTTGTCAAAATTTCTCTTCTGGATAAATTAGAAGCCCATTAGTTCATTAACATGCAAGTTAGCAGCTGGCTCTGTCTCAGTGTGCAAACCATTATACCAACAAGAACATAAGGGCAGTACTGTGCACGTGAATTCTTACAAGACATTAGAACACCCTATATGCAGGGCGGCCAACAGCAGCAGGTACTGCTACTTAAGAAACCCAGTCTAGTAGGAAAAAGGTCTGCAACCCTCAATGGTGGCATGCTTTCTACAGAACGTGCCGCTCTTCACTAGCAGACAAATAATATTCAGCTTTCTTTTTTTGAAAGTGGCGTAACTTCCCGTTCACCGATTTTTTGTGTTCCTGTATTATGTCTGCCTGCATTTCGTCTCATTCAGATCTAACCGCCCTGCTGACATAGATCCTACCTTTCAACACTTTTACTTTTATATTTCCTATAAACATAAGCAGGTGTTCTCCCCCTATTGGTGGTACTAAACGGTCCAGTACCTCTCCATTTCCGTCCGGTCCTCTACGTAATGATACTTGGTTATTATATTTCATAATATTAATAAGTCAATAATATTGACATCCTTATGGCAAATTGTTATATCACTGCATTATTTCGGCCTGCGTTGGAGACCACAACACCAAAAAAGAAATCTTGATATCTCCAGCATGACTCCAGAGTATAGGATTGCTTCAGTGTAGTGCACTGTCCGAACTCAGACGCTTAGAGTGTACCTTACGAAATAGAGTACTGAGGCTGAAAATCGCAAAAAAATCTTAAAATTCCTTGTCTAGGTGACAGCCAAGGCACGAGGGTTGTCGCTCAAGCTGTAGTTGTGGAATCCGCACCACCAAGGCCACAGGATTTTCGCAATGATGTTTCATACTCCCCCCCCCCCCCCGTCTTCTCTTCCTTGTGGCAATCAATGGTTCCCAAACGTTGATCCTAGTCATTTTACCATGTTATGTATTGCAAAGTGATTTCTTACTTCTGTATTATCTCAGTAATGACTTCGGGGTCGTCAGTAGCGATGAACACACGCTTCTGGACCGGCTGGCCCCTTAGTGCCAGGGAGCTGTAGAACTCTTCAGCGTGCTGCATGTACTCGGCCACGTCATGGAAGGCTGCTTCCTTCTTTTTGTCTGTGCGCCGAATATGCAAGCTGTAACCCATCAACAAACGAAAAAAAAAACAAATGTCGATAAGCTACACGATAGCCTTCCATTATTAAGTGTACTGATTTGAATATCTGCCCATCAACCATAGACAAAGTCTGGGGAAGGCGGTGAGAAAATTGAAAACAACCACTACCACCTCCAAAAAACTAATGGATATGTACATAAATACATGAAAAATTACAAATGTGCGCAAGAACATGGATGGTTAATACATTGGGAGTGCATAAAGATACAATCTACTTTCAACACACTGTATTTTAACGGCACAGCTGACATGGAGTGAAGATGGAAGCTGTGAATAAAGCGCTGACAATATCTGTACATGTGCATCTTGAAGGGTAAGTTGGCATACGTTACTTCGATAAACAGCTTTAAATCGAGACGGAGAGATTTCTCAGCTGTTAGCACAAGCGGTCGGAGTGTAAACTCTGCGAGGTGTCTTCGCCTACAGGAAAGGGAACATCTGCGTCTGTTCAGTGACTGCCCTCGAAAGAATAAAGCATTAGTCATGCTAATAACGTTACATCGACACGTGGTGCCTAATGATGCTGTTGCTTTCTATCAATATGTGCACTTGGTGGCTTTCTCGATTCTGTTTTTTTTTTCTCTTATATGCTCAGAGATATTTTCTTTACGAATAAGCTTGCACGCAGTTGTTTCCAGTGCTTTTTTTATGTTCCTCTTCGCCACTATACTGTCTTAACGCAGTTATTTTTACTAATCAATGAATATCTGTGCTCGTGCAAAAACCATTTAAAGTTACATTTTCCGAATAATTATTGCAATACATTTATAGGGGAGGGGATTAGTCACTCTACTCCAATTAGGAGGTAGTTCCAGGCTCTTGGAAGCTATCGCGGTGTGTTAGTCGCAGATTCCGTGTAACTTTGCCATAACTCACGCTACCATAGGATGCTTGTAGTCATTTTTTATCTTGAAGTCTTCTATGAACTCGCGTGTCGAGTTCTGAAGCCGAAAAATGTAGGCCAAGATCTGGCCGTACCACCAGGCGTAAGGTTCACCGTGGTTTGCCACCAAGTCCTTCGCAAATGACGCGGGTAGATCCCGCATTCGACGTCGCGTCTTGAGGCCTGAAAAAAAAGAAAAGCTGCTAAGGTGGTACAATACAGTTGTTCGGAATCAAAAATTGATAAAAGTAACACGTAAACCACTAGGGCGAGACAACGAATGCCATAAAAATATAATGAAAGAAACTTTGAAGCGATGGGTCGCCGGTTTCCACCTGTGGGCCAGTGCTTCGGAGTATTTTCTTCTGATTTATGTTAAGGGGGAAGCTCCTCTTAGAATAACCTTGTCAATGGTCACGCGTGCAAGAGAGAAAAACAGACGAGAAAGAGGAGAAGACAAAAGAAATGAATGACCATTTCTCGTCTCATTCCCTAAATGGAGTTCCACTGCCGCTACTTTCCGAATCACCGCTGCTCCCCCATCGACTGCTGCGCGTGCTTTGCCCAAGTGCGCGGAGAACGAGTGCCTCTCTCGGTCTCCTGGATAGTTGCCATACGTGGCAGATTATTTGCGGGGCATGGACGAAGAAGAGCGGCGGGTGCGTCGAAGACGCTTGCGCTCGGCTTCCGTGGCTCGCGTCTCGTCGGTGTTTCCTGCGAGCCGTCTGCATTCCCGAACGTGATCGAATGCATGGATGCATGCACGAATGGGGACGGACTCCCACACGAACGTACGCTTCGCCTCACTCATCATCATTCACTCCATGAAATATGCTGTGATTTTTGTCTTTGTGCCCTATATATATATATATATATATATATATATATATATATATATATATATATATATATATATATCTGTGACGCGACAATGGCAAGCAGATTAAACATTTAACGTACTGATCACATAAAAACGACGCATGAGACGTACTGACATGTAAGGTGACCGCAAACTAACAAATGTCACAGTTAATTCACTATATGGGAAAATTGCGCTGTTTAGAATGCGCGAAAAACAATGAAGGGCCGCGAAAAGAAAAAAAAAAACAACGCCAAGTGAAAGACCCTTTAAAGAAGCATGCCCTGCAGCGCCATTTCAAGATCCTCTGGCTTTGTACTTCACGATCACAAAGGCATTATACTAAAAGGAAAACGTTCCTCCGGGCTTATGTGATTCGTAAATAAGCTCTTGAAGAAAATGTATAAACTGCATCAGTATGTTACTATCGGTCTATAGTAAATTGATATGTAAATAATTAACACTGTGTGAGCAACGTGTCTATACAATCACACCCTAGCAACTCTCGTGTCACGTTTTTTTAAGATGCTGGTCGAGCATATGTACAGAGAATTAACGGTTTACGGTATTTAACTTCTGGAGAAAGCTCTTTCATCATCATTACCTTCGTGGATATATGGGGAATTTTCTTTTTCTGTCTCGATACAAGTATACGGGTATGACGACGGTGAAAAACGGCAACGCCAATGGCAAAAACCAGTGGAGAGTATCCATACAATTGCTATCGCAATAAAATTAAAATTAGCGGAGCCAGCACCTAATTCAAACAGCGTTTAAGACACGTTTACTCCTAGTGAGGGAGTAAAATAACCAGTATGGTAGCATGACCTGCATTTCCGATGGAGGCGGAAATGTTGTAGGCCCGTGTGCTCAGATTTGGGTGCACGTTAAAGAACCCCAAGTGGTCGAAATTTCCGGAGTCCTCCACTACGGCGTCTCTCATAATCAAATGGTGGTTTTGGGACGTTAAAACCCCACATATCAATCAAGCATGACCAAGCTCAGCGACTTTTCTTAAAGACGCAGTTACGCCCATGCCCATGAACATATTGAATTAAAGACGAAGAAAAATTTGCTTGATGTCTTCGTACTGAGGCTGCCTCAGCATGCAATGTTATTGTCTTATTGGCATTATATTTAGAGCTTAAACTGCACTGGGGACGAGACACATGACGAGAAGGCAAAACGAACGCTTTTTCTGCTTTAATTTCCCACTTCATGAGCAGTATTACTCAAATTAATGGCTTATCAATTAGCCCCACCCCCGCATACACACGTTCATTGTGATATAGACGACTAAAAATGTTCACATTAACGGCGACGACATAAATAAAAACACGCACAGAAGAGCAGGTTCCAGTGGGAACGTGTTTGTTTTTCGATTATGGCTCAAGTTTACAACATATCGCATCAACTAGCGCACGTCAAAGCGCTCTTAGAGAGCATGTATAAATGTTTCTCAAAGGAACCTATCTAGAACACAGTAAAAAAATATCACAGCATATCCACGAGTTGAATGATGATGGGTTGGACGAAGCGGACGGACGCATGGACGGACGGGCGGATTGACGAACGAATGGAAACCACGGACGGATTGACGGACGCTTCGCCCCACTCATCATCATTCACTTCGTGGATATGCTGTGACACCGTTTGCATTGCATATACATGCAATGCAACTGGTTACTACGACGACTATGACGACACGGGACATACGACTCACGGTGTAACGATCTTCGCCCGTAAAATCAAATATACTTATTATGCCCTTTGAAATTGCGCACTTTTGTGACTACCCTCTTTCATCTCGGAGGTCCGGACGAAGAGACGGACGTCTTAGCTTATTTCTTTGACCCGTATCCACTCTTCTCCCTGGGATGCGACAATGGCGGTGTCATTTTCAGTTTTGGGAACGCAAGCGGCTATATAGCACAAACTCGTCATGACACTACCGTGCCATTTGAACAGTTCGCATCATTGTAGCCTTATAAGTACGCCATTAACTTGAACCCCGTTTTCGCCGTGCATGTGGTGTTACACGTTGTTTCAATTGACATGTATACTGGAATTAACATTGGTGCAGCAGATAGTTGAATCACTGACCCCATTCATGTCCGGGGTAGCCGTCGACTATCATGTTTTCGGAGCCAGCATTCTCGCAGGAAGGTCCGGCGACAGGTTGGAGCACCTCTGTCCAGCCACTGTCATTTGGAGTATAGTGCCACGGCGTGCTGTTGAGAATCAGCGTGCGACCCATTTGCAGGGCTGCCACAAAGCACCAAAGGACGTCGTGAGCACCGGCCGCCAGACCCGACGGGTTGTCCAGGAGGCAACGCAGCTTGGGCGCTGATTTGCAGTCAGCAGGGTTCTGCACAGCGGGAAAAGAAAAAAAAATGACCGCCTATCTGCGTACTTCACTGCAGGCAAATGCTTTTGAAAGGTCTTCTGTCAGTGGGCGCTGTATATGCTGCCTTCAGGTAGCAGAGTAGCGCAATCGTTTTACCACGCCGTTAGCAACCATGCACTGCGGAGAAGCTGCTACACAGTCAACACCGCCGGAAGCTGTCGCCGTCCACCTGGAATCTAACAAGTGACCATCGTGCACTCTTAAGCTTGTTGGCTGCGAACTAGTGTTTTTATTTGCTTAATATTCATGTCCTTAAGCTTCGACAACAACGTATTTGCGTTGGTTCGGCACTATTTTCGAAAAGCGTGCTGAAATAATCGGTGCTGTACGCTTATTGGGCCACTCCTTAAATCTCTGAGGACCTATGTTTTGTGTTTGTGAGTTGTTGCTTATCTTCCACAGATGACGCCACTTGGCTATGCGGCATCGGCGGTGCATGTTAATCGGAACTACGCTCCGCCTTTGTACCTTGCGTTACCGGACTGAATGGGAAATTCCTTTGAACTCTCGTGACAAAGTATCGAAAGCAGGTGTTCCTTTGTGCTTCACCGGCCGTTGACACGCCAGACACGTCGACTTCCTATCGGTGGACACTCTTCGTCGATCGGCTACAGTATTAAGTCGCCTGCAAAAACAGAGCTTGGATTTGCCCCGCAACTATGGTTGGTAAGCAGGCAAGATGGAGGACCTATGCGCTACTCTGCTCCCGTAGGGAGCATATACAGCGATTCTACGCTGAGGTGATATCGTTGCCACGGAAACTATTGTACACGAGCGAGCACCGTCCGGTCATGCTCGATTGCCCTATTTTCCACGACTTTCAGTCTATGAAAAAATTGTCCAGACAATTACGTGCGGATATAGCTAGTTGGAATCGTCTCAAAGAGCAATGACGTGGCCATTGCAGTGGATCGGGCAGGGGACTTCGTGCCTGTGTGTCCAAGGACGCTTCAGTTTTAATCCTAAATTATGCTCCGGCATCGCATCGGCAGTGTCTGCATCGGACAGACCGGCAGATGTGTGACTACCAGGCTGCCGGAGCATGACAATACTTTAAAGAGTGGGGTATCGTCTCACTTTGCCAGCCACTGTCGTGAGGGTGATCGCACTTCTTCTCTTGAGCAGACATCAATCATGGTTCGCGGTCGTACTCAACATACACTTGATATTGCTGAGGCTTACCACATAGCGAATTGTGTTGACCATCTATTGCTCTGTAGGAACAAAAAACTGTTTCATACATCAGGTGTAGTCTTGCGTGGTGCATGATTTGTTGTGTGCGTATATATATATATATATATATATATATATATATGCTTTCTTTGAAATAATTTTTCAGTTGTTAGACTAGCGCTTGTCCTGTTTCCCTCTCTTGCGTGTTTCCTTATGTGCGCCGCTGCCCATTATGAATGTTTCTCTATATGTTCATAATGAACAGTTGCTGCAGCATGGCCTTAATACTTTCTATCACTTCGGCATTATCTCTGGTGCAACATTGAACTTTTCTAAAAGCCAGTGATTTTTATTGGCAATTCCAATGGTCGTATCAGCATCACGTCGCATCTCGTCGCCTTTATAGTGGTTGCTAACATTGCAATAGTGGGCTTCACTTGCACTGCGTTTGGTGTACAGCATCTGGTCATACGCTGTACGTACTCTTGAAAGTGATGTAAAAGCTGCCCGACACTTCAACCTCCTCCTCTTGGATCGCCGCTGCTTATCTCAATCGGTATACCTCGGAAAACTTTGGCGTCTTTGTCATACTGTAAAACCCCAGCTCTACGTCTCCAGGAGAGAAACAGTTTCGGGGATGTTCAGCGTTTGGCGAAACCGATGCGAGGCCTTGGCTGGGAATTGCCACCATCGTGCTTTGTGGCCGATACTTGGGCGAATGAGACGAGAGATCCTCGCGTTACTGTCTGAGGAGCTCTTCTTCCTAGGGAAGCGCAAGGTCCCGCGGCACTGTCCATGCCCCTTCGTCAATGTGGAACACGAAAGGGCGCAACTCATTTTTCGACCAACGTGGTATGAAACAGCACCCGTTCACTCGTTGCTTAAGCCTTCATTTGTAACCAAATGTTTTCATTCCATCTGTTGTATTGTTGTACCATTGTATTCACTGTATCATTATATCCCATAAAGCTACTTTGTACGTGCATGCCACGTCTGCCTTGTATATCAGACTAATTATGCCTTCACTACGGCAGAGTGATGTCCAACATGTGTGTGTGTGCTCCTTTTTACTGAAACGTCATCATCGTCTTGTTTTACAGTGAAAGCTGCTTTGAGATCAAAACTCGAGTTTCGCGGGTGCCGTAGTTGTCCGCCACCGCCGCCGCCACTGCCGGTGTCCGTAACCATATCACACAAATTTGAAGAAAAACGTCGTGTCATTGACACAGTGGGAATATAACCCGGGTGCGCTAGTTGCCAGCCCAGTATTCTACCACTGAGCCACACCAGTGCTTGGGACTTGTTGGAGGACTTGCTTTAGGCAGGCCTGATTTCGAGAATGCAATCGCGTTCATACGACTTCGAAAGCATTTAACAGATAAAGAACAACCAGTCGTCGCATGATCCGAATAGCATAACGAGGGGGTCGTCCAATGCTCCAAGCCACGAAAAAAGCTTGTTCTTGCTCACCCATTAACTGTGACGTTAACCAACTTCAGGCAAAATTTCTCATCGTCGTTTGCCACGGCATGAACAAAATTTCTCGCAAGTGTTTAGCGGATACAACGCTTCTCAGAAGAATGGCGAAAAATAGCATAGCGTATGCCAGCCTTAGACAACCCAATTTTTTTTAATTATTAATGCTGTAGTTGGTATAAAGCAAGTGTGATTGCAGCACTTACCCAATGAGTGTTTAGAAAAGGCTCTGAAAGGCCGCTCTTTTAGATTTCGCTGTGACTGTGCTGCACCTTCCGCGCAGGCCTGGCGTCTTTTGTACATAGTGCAATTAAGCTTTTTCTAAACAGTATCTCGAGAAAGAGTACCATCTTAGAAACGGTAGCACTTTATAACATAAAACAGCCCGTACTTCTCTATATAGAACCGTATATGGCATTTCTCTCTGGTAAAATTTTTACACTCAGTTTTGAAACTTGCCTATTAACTACCACGCCGTGCCCGGACAGTTGTTACAGCACTCAGCTGCTGACCCAAATGTCACGGGACGTATCATGACCGGATAGATCACTTTTTCGACGTAAGCGATAGTGAGAGAAGGTCGTACACGCTGATTTAGGAGCAGGTTAGATAACCCCAGGTAATCTAAATTTGCGAAGCCCTCCACTACGGAAAGCCGCATAATCATTGCATGATTTTGACAGGCCAAATTTTCTCGACCACCATTATCCACTATTTGGAAATATTGCTTGTAAACAGTTTTCAGGAAACTATTTTGTACTCTTCAATAATAATGTGCTAGAATACGCGCTTTTTTAATCAGTTTAGGTCTAGGTCTGTTTCTTCGTCTGGAATTATTTCTTAGTTCCTACTTTCCTTTGTGGTTGTTGTGGTTAGGAAGGCTTAATGCCTGTTATTGCGTGCGCCTTCAAAGGCATGAACACTGCAACTAGTAGTAAGTGGCTTCTCTCACCTGAAGCTGTTCAATTGTGTCGCGAACGTAATCCCGCAGTCTTCGCATTTTTTCCGCACTTTTTCTGACAGCTCGGTCTGTCTCTCTAATAGCTGCTACGTCTGCTTCCATAACCCTGCAGGTAGAAGAAATAAATTAAACAATGATTAAAAATCACTAAATCGTCCTTGTCGAAGATCAATGAAGCATTGCGAAAAGTTTCAGAAACAGCGAAATGCAGCTAATGCACTAAACTTGAACATATTAGGTTCCATTACCTAAAGGAGACTGCCTTTGCTTTGAAGATGAGCTGCAAAAAATATATTTGTCTTGATTGAAACTTGTCTGTTTGAACGGGTTCAATAAGCCCCATACTGCATTCATGTTGAAAGATAAGAACACCGTTATTGAGGGCTACTAACGTATGCATATAATCCAACTGCGCATTGTCTGGGTTGCTTAGGCTTACAGATTGCCTATTTTTAGATTTGCAGAACAAACGAAATCTCACGATTATTGGAAAGGTATCTTCATCACCCCAGAAGCTGCAGCAGAGTCAATTTAAGTACGCCCACCACAGCCTAAAGGCCTTCTCCCGCATTCCGGCAACCAACCCGGTTCTGTGCTTCCTTCTACCACGTTATGTCTGCAATTTCATAATCTTATCTGCCCACTTAATTTTCTTTCTCCCTCCCACGCATAGCCTTCTCGTGGGATCTACCCTTAATGATCTACCCTTAATGATCTACCCTCATGATCTACCCTTAATGACCAACAGTTATTCCGGTGTGCTACATGTCCGTCATTTGTCCATTTCTTTTCCCGAATTCAACAGTAATATTTTTACATTGGTTTGTTTTCTGACCTACTCTACTCTCTTCCTGTCCGTTAAGGTTACACCAATCATTTTCGATTTCAGCACTTACAGCGTTGTCCTTCTTTTATGTTAAACACTTTTTGCAAGCCTTCGGGTACTCATCCGCAGGGTAAGTATCGGTAAGATGCAGCGGTTACGTACCTCCCTTAAAATAATACCTGTAACCATAGGTGAACTATGGACTTCTGTTCTACTGCACTCCTGCTACGCGTAATTGACTTTTTTGACCACCGAGTCTTGCATGCTACGTCGTTGGGGAACACCAATAACCGATCAATGTTTATAAACTTTGATCGGGTTCACGCATAACCAATGCAGCAATATCACCTAAAGTTGAATGTTTTCATAAACTTGGAGGCTAATTTAAACTCGCCTTCTGAACTAATAACCCGCAGATCACGGGTTTGAATCATTGCTGCGCCTGCCACGCTTTTTATAGAGGCGTAATGCTGAAGGCCCATGTACCAATACATTAAGCTGCAAGTTATGGAACAGCAGAGGTCGGGATTTGCTGAGCATTCCTGGACGGTGTTTTGGAGCAACGGTTAATAACTTCAGCATACTACAAAGTATTTACCTGCACCTGCCACTGTACGAATGTGTCAAGCACCTACGAAGAAGCCTACCTCAGGTACTCACGGGCCTTGACAAGGACCGCTAGAACTCGCTTGTTCATGCCAGGACAAGACGACCTGGGTATGTGTCGCACCAGGAATTCACGCATCCTTTTGATGGTGGACTCCAACCTGGCCAGGCGCTCGACATGAATGTCATCTGCACCTGTTGAGAGAGGTCTCTGTTGTAATTTCTATGCCCCATGATAGGGCTTGTCAAAATGGCTGATTGGGCGATTTGGTGATGCACAATACTTCAAATACGAGTGAGTGAATATAACAGGGACTTCAACAGAGAACAGGAAGTCAACGTAATCAGGAAAATTTTATAGGATGTTCTATTGGAACAGTTATGCCTGTTGTATATACATGTCGATATTTTCCAAATAAACTTTAATTTTGTAGTATGCTCTTGTCTTCATTTTTCAAAGTACCCGTCTAAGTTACGCCCTCGTATTTCAGGTACATTCACTGAACGTGGCTGTCTCATTAGCGCTACGCGCACTGCTGATAGCACAGGCGTGATGAAGCTTCCCCGTTAAGGGAATCAAAGTTCTATCGCAGGCCATGAGTTCCGTACAAAAGACAGCATGCTTCACCCTGCCCCCTTCTTTACGCAAGTGAAGGTCGAAACTAAACACTTCTCGGCGTGAAACATCAGGGGACTATTGTCGCGATCCCCCAAAACTTGCATGGTCGTAACTCTGCTCGTTAACCATTGAATGAATATTACCGAGTAAGTAACAAACTGTTTCCGATAGAGGCGGAAATATTGTAGGCCCGTGTACTCAGATTTGGGTGCACGTTAAAGAACCCCAGGTGGTCGAAATTTCCGTAGCCCTCCACTACGGCGTCACTCATAATCATATGGTGGTTTGGGGACGTTAAACCCCACATATCAATCAATCAATCAAGTAACAAACTGTATGCGGCAAATAAATACTGGGACCACGCTTAGGCAAATACTAAATTAGGCTATCTCCTCCCCCCCTCCCCCCCCCCGAATCTGGCCCTCCACTGCACACGCCTTTGGCTAATGACGATTGCAGCATATATTTAAAAAGTAGAGCGCGAAAACTAAACGAGGGTACGAAAAGAAGTACAACGGACTACACAGCGCCTGCAGCGTGTTTTACGTTTTCTCGCGTCCTTATTTTTTGCGCTCGTCATTAAGGGATGCATAACCAATGGCAAGTCAATCTTCTAAAGGGGCGCTTGAATTTATTATGTATGGTACATACACACAGAAAACCACCGCGGGTTAAGCCCTCCGTCTATGGATTTCAAAACTACCATTGTAAACTGTTGACAACCGGTTAGACGACAAGGATTCAGCGACACGTTTACACCTCCACATCCCCAACACTTCCTTATTTTCTTTTTATTAAAAAAAAACACTTCTTCCTTCCTCACTCATACAATTAACTATACGGCACCCCCCCTCCTCCTCCTCGACCACACTCTAACACCCGCGAATCCCACGTGGCCTCTCCTTTTTTTGTTAGGGTGGAGGAGAGGGTACCAAGCGTAGAAATGCTAGCGCTAGATAAATTAGTTATATTCTAGGCTTGGGGAAGACGAGTCTGCTTATCGAAGCGTCGACTCAACAAAACCCCTGTTTACCCATTTTTTTTCGAGAAGTTCAATCTTCTCCTTCCTACCGTTTTTGATTTGCAACTTGGCCATTTAAGAATGCATAACTAAATAGCAACTGCCTTTGATAAAGCTTTAAGTATAGTGGAATGAGCCTGCGTCTCTTATTTTCTATGTTCGCTATTGGATGCAGTGCTAAAATAAATAAACAGTAAGTCTTCCAGACGCTTTTGCAAGCTTGTTTTATTGAGCATTACTGTTAAGGTCAGCATGCAGCGTTTGTTGCCTTTGTATTTCTGAACATGAGTTAGATAAAAAATACACATCAAAACAAACCCCAATTAGCAAAATTTAGTGAAGTCTTACCAGTGAGCATTGTAGGATCGAAAATCTTTTTATTTCGGTAGGACTGCCTCACCGCGTCTCCCCCATGTATAGAGGCCTCCGTCGTGCTGAAATAAACAAAAAACGTGTCCACAGAGAAGCGGCTTCGTTATTATTTGTATGTTAGGTTCAAATTATATCGGGCATTTTAACTTGCTTGTGTATAGGTGCAGTGCCTTTTTCCCCACACCAATTAAAGCTACGTTTTAGATGCTTATTGAGTTACAGGCCAGAAACTGCAGCGCTCGGGGTGCAACATTGACGTCACATACCCGCCTGACACTGCTACAAGTTTTGTTGTTTTTTTTTGCACTTATGCATTTCGTATATTCAACATCGAATATTACGGTCGCGAAAACTGACTTCTGAAACGTGCTTAACACATACCGTGTATGCCAGCTATCTCTGAACAAGAGTGAAGAATTACAATATTACAACTAGCCCAGAGAAATCAGTTGCATATCCGTGACAGCCACCTTGTGCACCACAGAAAATGTTCTGTTTTGTAATTCAATACTTTAAATATTATTCGTTATTTATTTACCAAGTAACATTTTCACGCAACAAATGGGACTACCAAAGTTCAAGAGCATCTTCAGAAACCCCATTGCATTATCTCCAATAAAAATAGCATCATTTTTATTATTTTATTGAAGCCACCAAGAAAGCTCAGTGAGATACAAAGGCCCGTTGCCACTCAGTTGGCGCGCGTGACGGTGAAACTTGTCGCAAGCCAACGCCTCCTAAAAAAATGGCAGCATATCCACGGAGTGAATGATGGAGAGTGGGGCGAAGCATTCGTCCGTCCATGCGTCCGTATGTGTGACCGTCCATGCGTCTGTTCGTGCGCCCGTCCCTGCATTCGTTCATGCATCCGCCCCTGCGTCCGTTCATGCGTCCATCCATGCATCTGTCTGTGTGTCCGTTCGTCCATCTATTCAACACTCCAAGTCCCACCATCTCGCATCTTTTTATCATATATTCCCCATATAGAAGCACCGTCATTCAGTGGACATACCAAGGACTAAACGAGAAGTGGCACACGCACACTTTCTTACGGCTTGCGCTTCAAGTGTACTTCCCAACTTCAACCACCTTGAGTTCATGGTATATACTAGTTCACTGTATTCATGGCACTGCGGCCCAATGCTCGCTAAACCTTTTTAAAACCAAGGAGGTTACGCCCAGCGAGTATAACGTAGCAACCCTTTCTTGTCCGATAGTGCTCAATGTACATGCCAATGGCTGCTAATGGGGATCACAGCGTGCGTGTTGACTAAAAGCCAAATTCTCCTGTCTCTCATTCCCCATTAGCAGCCATTGGCATGTATATTGAGCACTATTTTTTATTGTTAAACAACGCACAGAAGAAAATCTCTCACCGGCACCACCTTGGAGGTCGAATGTTATACCTATTTCGGGTATGTGCCACTGGCTGTTGCGTACTACGAGGGACGCCCAAGCGACGCCATAAGGAGCTTCGCCCCTAAAAATTATGCCTGGAACGTAAGCCGCGAACGCGCTGCCCTACCCTTTGATTTTACCCCCTTCCTTTCAGTACGAAGGTGAGCGTCTCGACGGCCACCCCCTGCGAACACAGCAATGCTCTCACAGTTGCCTCCGAGCAGCCGTGATGTCACGTGACAGGACGGTACGGTTATGTCACGTGACTGAGCGGTACGGAGGCGAGCGGTCTCACACGGCGGCCGGTCGCAACACAAGGCAGGAGGCATGGCCTCCGAGATTGCGTGCTGGCAGGAGGCTCCCAATCGAAGAGAGAGCGACGTTCCAGGCATAGTTTTTCTAGGAGGCGTTGCGCCAGCGCGGGCTAGGAAATCGCCGCTAACTTGACGGCCTACCGCTGCAAAGGATCTGGCCAGCCGTGGCCGCAGCTGATTTCGTCCGTTCGAGCCACTGCTGAGAGCAGCACGTGGGCGGCTCGTGAATGCGCTTGTCACGTGGTTCTCTCTGTATGTCCCGGGCTTTATATGCAGCTTGGAAAAATATTGTATAGGTGAGACTTTCTTCATGGCCATTTATTATAATCCCTATATTGCTACAATTACGGAATAACATTATCGATACAAAGACGCAGCGAATGAAGTTAATAGATAAAGTATTGGCGAGACATTAACTACCGAGGCGCATAGTCTATGAAGTTAGCACCTATGCAAAGAAAGAAAACAGTTCAGTGGTTGTCCCTCGCAAAAGTTTTCAAAATGGCTAGCCTAACACAAACAAATCGTCTTTTTAGAGATACAACACTGAAACGTATATGTGTGCACAGCACATTTTAAGAAATCTGGAAGCCCCCCCCTCCCCCTAATATCTTTGGCAGAATCACGAACACTACGACATAAACATGCATACACTATCAAAGAATACTCTTCCAACAACGACTGCTTCAAGCAATCCTTTTTCCCCCTGTCAATCAGCGAATGGAATAGGTTAGATCCCTCCATTACTAACGCACCATCACTGGCAGAATTCACTTCAAAAATTGAGACTATACTTTGAGACAACGGCTTTCTTCAACCATGACCTCCATTATTGTTTTCCAGTAGTATTTATTTGGATGTATAAGTATACACAATGCCTCCTCTGTATAAAACTGTATTGATTCTTTTTATGCAGCAAAGATTCAGTTCGCTGCTTCCGAAGTGTGAATATTTGGAGTGCATAAATACCTATGTGTAATGTTTCTATGTAACTAGGATTATTATTACCATTTTAAAATAACTACAGTTCTGTATGCCGCCTGTAAGAAAGTACTTAGCATTCATTGTATTCTGAAACTCATGCCCTCCTGTTTTGGTCTCGTAAGAGACTGGCAATATTGTAAATAATAATAATAATAATATGGTGCGATGCAGTGGTTTAGTTTTTCAACATGACCTCGCGTCATCCCTCCTAGAAATGTCTGCGAATTCGCTTAGAGACCATGACGGTTTTTACCTTCAATTGACCATTTTTCCACCAACTGCCCTAAGTGTCATTCATTTTTTCTCTTGAAAATCTTTTGCAATGGTGCTTTTCAACCGGGTTACGTTTGCCTTTTCAAATCACAGTCACAAACTTGTGTCCTGATTATATAAAGGACAATGACGCAGTTTATTATACTGAGGTCTTGTTACAAATTTTCTAATGCAATACGTACTGTAGCACTTTTTCTTTAAATTTTTTTCGGTT